ATAAACTGTTCCGTAATATATATTGTGTTTTAATAACCTTTTTTAGAATCACAATGTAAAATAAATCTCCCGTTCCTGCCATTCTGGTAACGCCATGCAATGGATGCAATTCAAAGTGAGAGAGAGATCTATGAATATCAGAATGCGTCCATGCCATTAATTTGGCCAAATACATGGCATGAAACTGACGTAAGCTTAAGTAAGCTGCGCCCCCCCCCTTTCTCTGGTAAATTATGACTTTATTTTTCGGAGTAATGGGTTTCGGACAACTGGGTTTCGGGGAATTGGGTTTCGGACAACTGGGTTTCGGACAACTGGGTTTCGGACAACTAGGGTGTCAATATATACGAATCGAATGTATTCTCGTGTGCATTACAATATCCCCATTGAAACATTTTTGGCCTGCAATGGACGTATAATGAATTAGAATATGAGGCCGTGTTATCATTCTAATGTAAAGTCATGGTATTTACTGTAGTATTGGGCTGCAAGTTAATATCAGATTCAATGCAAATTAATCATCTAATATCAGATGCGCGATCAGTCCAATAATCTAATTTCAGGTCATCAGTTCGATATCTAGCACTTGTTCTAAACGACACGGTATTACTAGACTATCATATTATAAATACACACACATATAAAACAATCAAACTGGTACACGATATAAGCACGACTGCTCTTTCAATTGAGTATAAATGTTGATAAACTTACCCGGAAGCCAAGACATACACGTTTAGACGATGCTATTTTCAGTTCAGTGTAAGAGTAAATGCCCGGATATCGAGGCTTTTTCGTGTAAAGTTTTAACCAAGCATCTAAAATCGGGTTATATTGCGTGTAGAATTTATCGATATCAGGGCCGCTACATGCCAGTGAATAGTGGAGGTGAAACATCAATACTTTAAGCAGGAGCATACGTTTAAGGCGGAGCATCATAAGTCGGAGGCGGAGCATCATATGCCAAAGGTCGGAAACCATTTTCAGGAAATAAAAATAATATTTAAGAGGCTGATCGGGCAATTAATTACAGGTAGTTTTTGATATATATTGTATATATTGGGGTGTAGACAAATATGGGAAACACAGGTATAGGATCGTATGTTTGGGATATGGCATATTATCCTATGCCAAGTAGAGTTTTAGGGTGATAAGTTTGTAAGATATATCCCATATCCTGATTTTGAGGTTTCCATCTCCTGAACCTCCATAATAATAATAGGATTTTATTAGTACTGATGCCCTTTTAGGGCCAAACGTACATCCAGTATACAATTTTCAATAACAGTAAATATAGGCAATAAAGTAAAGAAAATAGAATTACATTCTTCAAATGACATATAAAATGTTACTTTGATATAAGAATCCTGTCTCTACCCATCATTAGATACTTTATCATGTCAGCAGATTCTTTTAATATGATCCCCTCACTCGTCAATAGAAAAATTGTCTTTTGGTGGTCATTCATGTTTTTAAAATTACGACACAGGTTTTCAAGTTTTTCAATATGGGATTTTCTGATAAACTCCAATTTTTTACATTTGAATAAAAAGTGTGTTTCATCTTCTATAACCGAGTCCTTGCATATTTTACAAAATCGACTATTAAGATCAGTAATTGGTTTTGTATATCGGCCTCTCTCTATCTCTAGATTGTGGGCGCTTATACGTAATCTAGTTAAATGTTTAGCATTTGAAAGTGTCGTTTCTGAAAGGTAGTGTTCAAATCCAAAGTGCGATTTTAGTTGTTTAAATAATCTAAGTGTCCCCCCATTCCCACTTATCAGATTCTTCCAATATACTTGATATCTCTCTATTAGTTTCTTTTTGACTTTAATAGCAAGCCTATTTGTGCTCATCTCTATGTTTACCCTATCTTCAAGATTCAATTCATCAGACATTTTTATTTTAATATGGCACAGTATATTTTTGAGTTGTTTGTGCCATGTAAATGTGTTATTTGTTAAATCAAATGTTTTACTTATAATTAATGAATCGTTTAGTAAGCTCCCATTTGAACTCAACTCTAAATCACCGAGGTATTTGATTTGTCTTTTTATAATATCAACTACCAAAGGTATTCTTCCCAATTCTCCTCTTACTGCCATGTTTGTGGCTTTTCTGTGAACCCCGAGAACATATTTTTGGAACCGAATATGATTGTTTTCAATTAAAGCACTTTCGTATTTCTGTTCAATATCTCGATTAGTTTGGCAGTCACGCTTGGTATATATATCATTACACCATATTTTCGAACCGTATAAAGCGACGGGTTTGATAAGTTGATCATACAATTTCATTTTCAGTGAAGACTTCATCTCTGTGCCGCTTGTCAATTGATAAAGTTTAAACATGGCTTTATTTGCTTTTTCTTTTATGTTTTGTTGGGCCGGTTTAAAAGATCCCGAAGCACTTAAGACAATTCCCAAATATGTATACCTTTGAACATTTTGTATATTAATATATCTCATATCTCCCACCATATCTCCCGCTCCAGGGCATATCTTCCAGCTTCGAAAAACAATTTGAAAAAATAAGAAAAATTGAAAAAAGAAAAAATGTGAAAAAATAACAAATTCAAAAAAAGAAAAAAACAGAAAAATTGAAAAAATTGAAAAATGTGAAAAAAAATTGAAAAAATAAAAAAAAATTGAAAGAAAATTAAAAAACTCTACTTGGTATAGGATAAAGCAGTTATGTACGGTCGGTTTGGATATTGGGCTCATCCCTCGTGAGATATGCACATCTACCTTCGGTCCCTATGGTCCCTCAGGTAGATATGCATATCTCCCTCTGGATAAATCCCATATCCAAAACCTCCCAGTACATAACCCTTATATATGCAGTGAGTAGTTGTAGCCTTGTGTATCGGAAGCTGAAGCAGCTGTTTGTCAGATGATAGATAGGGCTTCATAGATGGGGTGGCCCACGGGTCTATTTCTCCAAACTCCGTAAAATTGGAGGCGGAGCTTTATATATAAGAGGCGGAGCATCGTAAGCTGGGGGTGGAGCATCATATACTAAGGGTCGGACACCATTTTCAGCAGACAAAGTATCATATGCAGGAGGCTTGGGCATATGTAGTGTTTTACCAAAATTAATGGTCGATGTGTCTCCCTTGGCCATGATAACAGCAGCAATTCTTTCCAGACATGACCTTAAATGCACTTCAAATAGGGGTATGGCACTTTGTAATGCCCATAAAACCTTTTTGAGGCATTTTAGAAGAATTTCCTTGGAGTATCTACCCTCACTAACCTCTTTTTACAACTCAATACCCATCTTTTCTTTGACGATAGCATCCACATTTTTGGTCCTATAGTGGCTAGCGCTGTTTCCAGGATACTGAATTTAACTTTAATTTTGGCCAAACACTAAGTTTTGAAATGCCTGTAACTTTTTCCTATTTGTGAGTTGAACCATGATACTTGGCAAATCAATGTAACGTTGGATAAGCTTTAAAGTGATATATGACACATACTATGGGCACATAGGCGTATGCCTGCCTAGGGGGGGGGCATACTTTCGGGACACCCTGTAGATATATCCGTAACGTACTTTTCACATGTTTGAAACAATGCAATGTATTTTGAGACACATCCTTGTACCGTTACACGTCCCTGTATCGTTTCAAGTTTCAGCGTTGCGAGTCACTGGGTTCTCTTTTATCTATCTTGTTTTTTCATGAGTAACTGTGTTCACGTTTAGTTAAAAAAAGAAAGATGAAACCATGTTATTCACTTATACTTGTTAGGCCGCGGTCGCTTTGCCTCGATGGTCCTCTTAACAAATACTTACTAAAGTGTTGTACAGAGTTTTCACATTTTTTTTATATTTTGTCTCAAAAACTGCATAGATGTAAACTATTTCAATTATTAGACTGCGGTAGCTAAGTATAAGTGATGCATACGTTTTATTCACACATAGCTAGGCAAGGTACCTATACCTATACGTCTATTACAGGGTGTTAAAATCGCTATACCTTGGAAAATACTTATCTATTATTTGTGTTTATTTTTCAGGAAAGGAAGAAGTGACAGTGTATGTATAGCTCCTGTAGTTGGTTAGTTGTAAAACATGATGCCTTGGACATCTGCTCAAAAGACATTTGTACTATAAAAATACAAAAAACGCAGTCAGGGGTGACTGCAACCGCAAAAAACTAAATCACTTCCTGAACGTAGTGTTTTGGCTCTTCAAAGGTCCATGTGCAGTATGGCAAGTGATTTTAGACAGTCATATCTTTCACCAAGTGAAGTCCCCATGGTAGTAAAATATCAATCCAACTCTCTGAAAAATTATGGATTAGGGCCCAACCCTGCCACTTTTAAAAGATGTTAGGCTTATTTTCTAAAAAGATGATCTTGCCTGTCTCAATTTAAACATATTTAAAGTTTCTTCTACACTATATGAACAATTTCTGAAAGGGAGATGCGTATTGAAATGCGTTAAAGTTAAAACCACATATCTAATTCTGATAATTTAAAATCCAGTTTTAGGATTGTGAATTGACCTGGATGACATCATCAAGAAGTGTAGAATCCCTCCATTATTTTGCATTTAGAGTTTAAAGCCTCATTCTGAATATAGATCACATGACCAATAAATGGAGAAATTAAAAGAAACTACAGGAAAACACAGAATGGTTCAAATATCAATATCAACCGCCACCTCCACTGAACATCAATCATATGACAATGAATACACCAAACTCTAGCACATGACAAAGCCATAGGTACTAGTAAGTACTGTATTCTCTGTACGAAAAGACCATGGACACTGACAAATTGTTTGACCTGTCCCTTGGAAGAGATCGAAACGACGACTGAAGTAATAATATATCGACGGACAAGGGTTGGAAGAGTGACCACCGGAAAGGATACAAAATAGACAAAATTGTCAACGAGTTTTGGGGTTTATGCTGTGTAAAAATTCACGGTTTTATTAATTTCTATTTACATAATTGTATAAAACTTGCAAAAAGGATTTGGAAAAGGCATTAGGAAATATCATTTATGTTGTATTACATCGTACAGTATTATGTGATGGGCAGAATATACGAATCGTTCAAATAATGCATACGTGTACATGTTAGTTGCTATTATTTACTTTTTTTTATTTTCCAATGTTGCCTTTTTATTTTCTCATATTTCATTGAGTTAAAACTAGAAACAGACGCCCTTCACCCCTTTGAATATTTGCAACTCAAACTTCCTTAATACTCAGATAAGAATGGCTTCCATTTTTTCATGTTCGTTGGGATTGATTTGCTTCTCCACTGAATTGCAGCTTTCTAGTGAGTTCGAACATCAATAGTTGGAGGAGGAGCATTAGTTTGAGGTGGAGCGTCAATAGTTTGAGCTGGAGCATCAATAGTTGAATTTGGGGTATCAATCGTTGAATGTAGATCATAAGTTGGGGGCGGAGCTTCACATGTTTGAGAAGCATCGATAGTTGGAGGCGGGGCATCATAAGTTGGAGCCGCAGTGTCATAGGCTGGTGGCGGAGCATCATAAGCTGGAGGTGGAGCTTCACATGTTTGAGAAGCATCGATAGTTGGTGGCGGAGGCGGAGCATCGTAGCCTGGTGGTTGAGCATCGTAAGTTGGAGGCTGGACATCATAAGTTGGAGGCGGAGCATCATAAATTGGAGGCGGAGAATCATGAGTTAGAGGTGGATCATAATATGCTATGGTTCCGGTTCCATTTTTAGAAGATAAACTATCATATGCGGGAGGCTGAGGCAGTTCCAACACTTGACAAAAGGATCTCCTGTCATGATGTTGTGTAGAAAGGGAGTGGCGAGCCGGATGAGCAGTCGTTTCTTCAGTAAAATTGCAGACTTGGTCCTGTAAGTTTATATCCAGGTTACTTCTGTTGCAACGTGCTGTTAGTCCACCTATGTCATGTATAATTCCATTTGATGATCCTATAACAAGTGGAAGTAACCTCGCATAATCCTCCTGTGCATTTTCACTAAGTTTTTCATTCAAACATTCACAAGAACATCCCCTAAATATACAAATTCCACAACTTACGAACACTAATAATGTGGCTGTTATGAAAATTCCAGATAGAATATAAGTCAATAATGAACCGTTCGAGCAAAATATTATTGCAGATGCTATAACGGGTGATGAAAATACAATTGCAAATATGATTGCGCCAATTTTCCGACCAATGTTCTCTTTACACATTTTTTGTACCATACAAGTCAGCCAATTTCCATATTCTTAAATGTTGGTCGCATGTATCCTTTATTTCTCTTATTCCAGTGCTATTTTCAAGTCCAACGTTCTTATATGTATGTAGGCCTAGTTATACGTCACTTATTTTCATTTGTTTGAAACAATGCATGTTTTGAGACATATCTTGTATCCTACACATTATTGTATCGTATTGCTCTGAGTAACCACTTTAAACTTAAAGTTAAAAATAGAAAACATGTCTGCCATTCATACGTTTTAGATCTCGGTCGTCTCGTTTCGGTAACTCTGAATCGTGATTACAGAATTATTTTACCGATTCATTCACATTCAACACTTCTTTTTTACATTTTTGTTTTCAAAGCTGTATAGGTGACAACAAAATTGATACGATTTTCTTAACTAGCCATATTTTTATATGACAAAAAACATATAAAAATATGTAATAAAAAGTAAATCGCAATATTAAATTGTTATGCACACCATGGCAACTAAGCTTGATTACATCATGGCAACTTTATAAATTGTATAATACGAGTATTTCTGATCAGATCAACTTAATCAGTATTCGTGCTACACATTGTGACAAATAAGTATTTGTGATACATATCGTGACAACTAAGTATTAGTGATACATATCGTGACAACTAAGTATTAGTGATACATATCGTGACAACTAAGTATTAGTGATACATATCGTGACAACAAAGTATTAGTGATACATATCGTGACAAATAAGTATTAGTGATACACATTGTGATAACTAAGTATTAGTGATACATATCGTGACAACTAAGTATTAGTGATACATATCGTGATAACAAAGTATTACTGATACATATCGTGGCAACTTAGTATTAGTGATGAATGCCATGGTAACTAATAATGAATATCATGGTAGGCGGAAATATGCAAGTTATGCGAAAAAGAGTGTTACGTGGTGTTACCCAAGCGTTGACCATGTGACAAATACGAGCAGGGTAACCAAATAGTATACTATGCTTTTTATTACTCATATTGACTCTTTATTCAGTGATAGCGATTGTGTCTTAGATCAAATTAAAGTTTCAACTACTCGAGAATGTTATCATAAACTTAAATATTTGATTAAGATGCTTGGTGCGAGTCTGAGAACTACACAGATGTTATGTATATTTTTTGGCAATTATTAAACTATAAATGAATTACATGAAAACCACGTATCATTATTTTTGGCCCAATAAATGTAATACACGACAAAACTAAATTTACACATGCGCAAGCAAGACACGTGGTTTTATCAAAAGTTTATGTTCGTTTTAGTTTAATTTTTGGAGCCACATATTACAGTAAATAAACACTTTAAGATGGATAGAAAATTATATATTCTGTTTACAATAGCTCTACATTTTGTAAATACATATGGAACCGAGTTTAAAGAAGATGATGGCGTCCTTATATTGAATGACAAGAATTTTGATAAAGCGATACAAGAGCATCATCCATTGCTAGTTCTATTTTGTAAGTACCTTCAATAGTGTGTGTGTGTGTTAATAGTCACCTTAATTCTCTCGTCACATTTAAATTAAGGGTCATTTATATAGATCAATAACAATAGACATCGCCACTTTATTATCTATTATTAAATAGATTTATTATTAACCAATTTTTTCAAGTTATTTATTAGAAGTTGAATAAAGAAGCCCGAGTTTATTTTATGAATGACCAACTTTTAACGAGGATGATCATAATGTTCAATGGTATGTTAATCACGGGTTAAAAAAACAGATGACTGTTGGGAAATATTGAGGGACTGAAGATACCTTTGTACGTACTAGACGAATTTCTTATGTAATTTCTTACGTACTAGATGATTTTTTATGAATAGATCATCCAAACATAGTTTCACCCTCCCCTCATATTCTAGATGCCAAGTGGTGTCGAGATAGCAAAGACATCAAGGAAGTTTTTCCAAATGTTGGTCGCAAGATCAGAGACTCAAACGCCACTGGTATTCAAGATGTGAAGCTCGCCATGTTGGATGTTGGAGATGGGATCTTACAGACGAGAAAACGTGGAATCGTCAGATTTCCCTCAATTCAACTCTTCAAAGACGGAAACTGGATAGATGGCGCTACTGGTAAGTTCATGCAATGACGTATTCAAAATGGCGTATTTTCTCCCTAGATACACCTTGGTCTAACAACTCGATCAAGGCGCTACCGGAGTTTGCAAAAGCCGAGGACGACTGGATGACAAACCATGAGAAGGTTGTCACGTTTGGTAAAGTCGACTGTGTGCAGAATAAAAAAGTGACAGCGAGAAAGAAAATCGTTGGATTTCCAGTTTTCAAGTTATTCTCAAAAGATGTTATTTATGATTATCCAATTAGAGGTAATATCTAGCAAACAAATTCGCATCTATGATGTTTTTAAAATGTATACTTTTCAACGATGAATTTCTTATCTCAACATGTCAATAAGATAAGATTTGAATTTTATATGGCCATATCCAGCAACTAAAATAAAATACACTCAATTTGCCAATATCAAAAATTCAAAAAACTTCATGTTGATGATTTCACTCGTGGATAAAATGAAGACCATTAAATTATTTCAGCTGATCGAATGACGCAAAATTCATATGTTGCCATCTAAAAGTAATATTAAGTCAACCGGGCAATCGATAACACACATATCACTGAACGAAATGGCATCGTTTCAGCGGGTAGACAGTCTGCTGACATAACAGCGTGGCTGGAGAAGAAGATGGAATCCCCATTCGTCTATCTAGACACGAAGGAAGACTTTGACGCTTTCACCGACAAATTCCGAACAGTAGTTGGAGCATTCTATGTAAGAATTTAATGACGATTAAAAAGCATTAAAATGATTAAAATGCATTAAAAAGGAACAACATTAAAGCACACACGAAACTAGTTTTTTGTCTTTAAACAAATTCCTGTTTCAAATTAGTTTTTATGGGTTTGTTTTATGACTTTAGAATTATATAATATAATATACTAAAATGTTCTTCGAGTTTTACTTATACTAGTTACTCATTATTCTCGACAACATGTATACCTCGACCATGTGTGTGTTTCAGCACGAGAATTCTGCTCGTTATCGGTCATATGAAGCTACAGCACACACCTTCAAAGATGAACTGAATATGGAGTTCGGCCTTATAACGAACCAAGGGTTTGCAGCTGATGTGGGCATGATGGATAGTGAAATTTCGGTGTTTAGAAAGGTACAAAGCACTGTATGGAAGATATACACCCCTTTTAGACGTTTGGCGGCAATCATTCTTTTTTGATAGTCTGTTATAAGCATGTGTTTGTCTTTTCTTAATTATCAAAGCTGCAAACAAAAAATGCAATTATTTTATGATCGCCAATTCAAAACACAAACATGTTTACTTCGAAAAGGGAGCTTGTTTTGGTAAAACTTTGGAAGGGCGTGTGTGTAATAAACACAGAAGCATGCCCAAAAATAAAACATCCTATCCGCCACCTTATGATTTGCATCTATACTTGTACAAATATCATATTGTTTACAAAATACTTATTCCGCATAGTTTACGTCATATACAAGCCACGTACTTGTTTTGCATGTATATATTACTAAAAAAACTACTTTTCAGGATTTGGACAAAGTTGTCTATGAGGGAGCCCCAACTTTTGATGATGTCTCGACATTCGTTCTGAAAAACTGGGTTCCAGATATCTTTGAATACACGAACAGGGTATGTTTAACGATTTGAAGAAACACAAGCATGTGGTGGCTAGATCTTTGAGTACACTAATGGGTTTAATGGGCATTTCTAAATAATGTTTTAAAACACTATTTTTAATCGTTAAGCACCTTCATATGTACCTACATGAGTATTTGAATTTTTGAATACGCGAAATTTCATTCTCTAGACCTACGTGTTAATATTCATATGAGAGCTCATTACATTAAACTTTGGATAAGTCGTTCTACGCATGTGACTTTATTCCCTCGTTTCACACATGCGCATTTATGATTCATCCCTTTAATTGTTTTATCTACAGGATAGTGAGAAGATAGGACTATTACAGGAGAAGGGAGTAGTCAAGAACTTGGTAATGATGTTTATTGATAAAGATGCTGACTACTTTGATGAGAAAATGAAAATGTATTCAGAAGTGAGACAAGAATTCGCCAGTTCAGATGTAAGTCCCTTCACATATCAATAGACCATATAAGGTGTACATGTATGCCTTGATTGAATGTTTGATTATTTTCTTTTACATGATACTAAGTTTCCCTGCGATTTTGCATAGCCTATTAGTGACACAGTCCGTTATCATTGTTAAACTGGAACAGAAGGTGAAAATACTGTATGCTTATTGCCGTTTTCCATGAATTAAAAATCATTTCTCTACTTCAAAGAACGTTAGCGGGAATGAGTATTGTATAATCTTTTGTGATTATTTTCCCATCTCAATTTGTTTCCTGAGACATATTTTACAACAGCTAGGAAAAATATCTCCACAGGGGATCATAATCACGTTCACGTTCTTCAAAACGATGCTAACTTAACCTCCCTATTTAATCTATACTATCGCTTTCTGTAGCCTCGTAGGTTGCCCCATTATGTGTACATAGTCAATTTCACAATTCCAGACATTATTTGCCTTTGAAGACTGTAAAAGGAACGGCAGAAATACGTTTCTTCAACGACATTGTAACCTTGTCCAGACAGACTGTCCAGCTATTCGTGGAATCTACATACAAGACTTGGATTTTCCCAAAGTTAAACCAGATCCTTTGACCAAGGCAAATGTTAGAAACCTGGTGAATGGGTTAAATACAAAAACTTTGGAGGTATGTTGTGGGTATTTCATTGATATATTGGCACAGACGTGATCTTGCTATATTTTAAAGGCGTAGTTTCAGTTTACAATATTTTATTGTAAACGTTCAAGGTTTAAATGTGTCAAAAGGATCCATTTGCAAGAACGTCTTAAAATTTGGCTGAATTCTGAGGGATTTTGACTACTATTCAAAGCCAACCAGCAGCATATAAAGCTTACGTTTGGTCGTAATGCCGAACTGTCATCGTGGAAAATACTGTATAATCGAATGTTTTTGAGGAAACTTTCATTTGGATTAAATTTTTCATTCACAAAGCCGTATTGGAGGTCTGCAAATGTTCCTCAAAAGAAGGACGAATTGGATAACGGCGTCCGCGTTTTAGTCAGCTTGAACTTTGATGACGTCGTCGGTGACCAAGAAAAACACGTTTTCGTCATGTTTTGTAAGTATATAACCACTGATACTTCATGTGGCCAGCATGTACCAACTTGGAAAGACTGAATCTAAATGAAAAATCCCATATTTATGTTTGTATTGCAAAACGAAAATCATTTCCAACATTTCATTTGAAACAAAATATTTTAGATACTCCGTGGTGCGCACAGTGCAAAAAATTAATGCCCGATTGGGAGAAGCTAGCTGAAGATTACAAAGACAATGAAGATATCATCATTGCTAAAATTGATATGATAGATAATGAGGTCAAAGAATTCGCAACACTTTACTCATGGCCAGTCTTCAAACTCTTCCCTAAATATAAAGATACGGTAAGTTTCAAAGAATTGTGACTTATCAACCGATTATAATGAAACAAGCCCTAGCAACCCAACAATGAAATTACACACAATATAACAGTGTATAACGCCTCCTCCCAGACTATACATCTCCTTGAACCATTGCTATCATCCAGAACAACAAGACCACATACAAACTAAGGTCTTTACAAAAATTGTAAAACAAAGATGTCATCATCTATAGAAAACTATAATTACTTTAATATCATTTTAAAGTGTTTATCGTGACCATCTTTTGGAAATAAATCATCCTCCGGACATATATTTTGGGAAACAGAGGGGATGGTGTCTAGGTCCCATGCACTTGGAGAATTGAGATTTTATGAAACAAACATCAATGAGAAAACATGATCGTGTGAATAAATGACGATTGTGTACTATTAACACAAATACTATTATCAATGATTTAACTAACACTCGTTAATGTATTGACCTGACCAAGTTGCATTAATTGTGATCTCCCTGCTACATGAAATAGCTTTTACATTTATTTCCAGTTTGTGAACTTCAAAGAAAACAAAACTTACGAGGAATTGAAGTCATTTATAAACATATATGCATTATTTGTAAGTGTACAATTTATCATTTAAATATTTATTGTTAGCATAGAGTATGTATCCAAAGGGAATACATTATTATAGTTTTTATTAAATAGTTTACTACACTCTGTAATCGCTTGGCCATCGCACCAATGGAAATGGCCCATCATAGGCTAAATGATTTTTAATTGATCTATACCAATGTAGAGCTGTTATAAAGGGTAACTGGTCAACTCGTACCCAAGACAAGTCGTACCCAAGACAACTGGTACCCAAGACAACTCGTACCCAAGTATACATTTTGTTTTGAATCAAGCGTTGGACTGGGAATGTGAATAGATATACATATTATAATTGTAACATACTGTTCAGAATAGTTTAAAGTTTGAAGATGAATTTTCGGAAGAAATTGATTTAATTTTGTGACATTTTGAGCTGAGTGTCAATTTATATTGACTATTATTTTATATTGGTCACAGATTCAGGATGTTCGAGTTCAATGTTCATAATCATTTTTCAAAATATTGTATATTTATGAGTGTTTGGAACAAGTGTCAGATCTAATGTTGTAATTATATTTATTTATATATATGTTTGACAAAAAAATGTTGAGAACAAGCGCTTCAAGCACTTCTTTTATTTAATAAAAAATGTTTTACTGATCCATTGAGAAAAAATGTCTTCTTAATTCAAAAAAATATTGAGGCTTATTTGATTCACATTATAACATGAAAGCATTACAAACTCAATTTTTTCCCTAATATGCACCCATAATACTGAAAATAATCTTGGGTACGAGTTGTCTTGGGTACCAGTTGTCTTGGGTTGTCACGGAGTAAGGTTCATATACTTAACAAGATAGCAGAATTGTACTTAAATTACATATTTCTAATTGTCTTTATTGTAAAAATATAAAACAAAGTGTAAAATATGACATTAGGCAGAGTGATTATCAGAATTAAACATCTATCATGAATCCTATAGATAGACTTATCTAGATCAATAGCTCACAATGGTACACACCAGGAAACACTAAGACGGACAATTCCTTTAAGTCTGATGCCCACAATTTAATCCTTTTGTGGAAATAAATGCCATACAACTTCAAATGATCGCATCTTTGTATATCTAGTAATGCTTCTCCATTATCCCAACACACATGAAACCTGCAGCACCTCGCAAGTAACATAGTTTGCGCTTCCCAAGGATCCATACGACTTTACACAAGTATTGTAGTATAACCCTTGTTATCTACACATACCTAACACAGTATTCCTACGAGTCCGTCCGTGGAAAACTAAACACAGTGCGTAAGTTCCAAGGCCAAGCACATCACCAAATAGGATTTCTAACATCACTGTTCACATACACAAGTCACTGATGGAACATCGTAGTATTCGACATAAATTAGCGAGCGTCACGACATCAAAAAGGTAAATCCAAGAAGTGGCCATAGAAGAATTAATTCACTGTCAAAGTCTTGAAAGATGGTAGACGAAATTGTTCAATTATATTTCACTAAATAATATCTCCAACACTGCCTCGATAATTTCATGTCATTTCACTTCTCTTGACTCTACACCCTTCATTTCTCTAATGTCACTTATATCTTCCCTCCTAAAACTCTCCTACTTCACTAAACCAGTTCATGAGTTCACTCTAGTGTTAGTGGGTCACTCTACTCAGTATTAAAAAGTTGAAATAGAAATCACTTGACTAAAATTAGTAGGATTCAATGAACTGTAAAATACACATAGTACAAAGAAATGAGGTGTATGGCTACAATATTGAATAAAGGACCAGGTGTCCTTGGCAATATAAAACAAGATTGCACACAAATGACTATGAACTGTGACAATACCCCCAAGTTTGAGAAATAACTAATGTTTCTTTAAAACATGATTATTTCTTACAATTTGTGTGCAAGAATATGATAAGGTAAAATTTTTGCTTGAGTTTATAATACAATATGAATAAATCTGAACAGATTGCACACTTTTAAAAGTTAGATAAATTAAATTAAATCTATGACATTTCTAACATAATTTGCACAAGTCTGCTATGTATGTTGGCACGGACGAGCCCCCATTGTCACGGAGTAAGGTTCATATACTTAACAAGATAGCAGAATTGTACTTAAATTACATATTTCTAATTGTCTTTATTGTAAAAATATAAAACAAAGTGTAAAATATGACATTAGGCAGAGTGATTATCAGAATTAAACATCTATCATGAATCCTATAGATAGACTTATCTAGATCAATAGCTCACAATGGTACACACCAGGAAACACTAAGACGGACAATTCCTTTAAGTCTGATGCCCACAATTTAATCCTTTTGTGGAAATAAATGCCATACAACTTCAAATGATCGCATCTTTGTATATCTAGTAATGCTTCTCCATTATCCCAACACACATGAAACCTGCAGCACCTCGCAAGTAACATAGTTTGCGCTTCCCAAGGATCCATACGACTTTACACAAGTATTGTAGTATAACCCTTGTTATCTACACATACCTAACACAGTATTCCTACGAGTCCGTCCGTGGAAAACTAAACACAGTGCGTAAGTTCCAAGGCCAAGCACATCACCAAATAGGATTTCTAACATCACTGTTCACATACACAAGTCACTGATGGAACATCGTAGTATTCGACATAAATTAGCGAGCGTCACGACATCAAAAAGGTAAATCCAAGAAGTGGCCATAGAAGAATTAATTCACTGTCAAAGTCTTGAAAGATGGTAGACGAAATTGTTCAATTATATTTCACTAAATAATATCTCCAACACTGCCTCGATAATTTCATGTCATTTCACTTCTCTTGACTCTACACCCTTCATTTCTCTAATGTCACTTATATCTTCCCTCCTAAAACTCTCCTACTTCACTAAACCAGTTCATGAGTTCACTCTAGTGTTAGTGGGTCACTCTACTCAGTATTAAAAAGTTGAAATAGAAATCACTTGACTAAAATTAGTAGGATTCAATGAACTGTAAAATACACATAGTACAAAGAAATGAGGTGTATGGCTACAATATTGAATAAAGGACCAGGTGTCCTTGGCAATATAAAACAAGATTGCACACAAATGACTATGAACTGTGACATGGGTACGAGTTGTCTTGGGTACGAGTTGACTAGAAAGCGTTATAAAGCAATCAAATGACTCCGCTAATGTTATCTATTTTATTAGGATGACACCAATGAAGTACTTAAACGAAGTTTAGATGAGATGAATGATGAAGACCGAGATATAACTGAAAAAATCATACTTGGCATGAAAGTGGAGCTTCCAAAAGAGGAAGTTGAACGTTTTGCACCCGCAGAAGAATTGGGAGAAGGACGTCCTCGACAAAAAGTTCTTACGAAAGAGGAATGGGAAGAATTTGATCGACTCCAAGATGAAGTCATGGAACCACATACACATGATGATGACGAAGATCCTCATGAACATTAATATTAGTTTTAGTAACATTTTGGATTTTCATCAACTTTTACAATTAAGTGAAAACTGTAAAGTGAGAACACCTCTTTAATTAAAACACTTTTCAGAGTACCATAACCAATCAACTTTATGTTGAACACTTATCTGGAAGTGGAACACCTTCCAAGTAGAACACCTTTTAGAGGTTTCAAATGTGTTCCACTCATACAGGTTTTACTGTAGTGTATTTCGGAATCATGGCTGTGTGAATTTTACTGTAGTAATCTGCTAATTTGGTCTCGATAATAAATCTTCATACTATGTAAATAATGATAAAAATCAAATGGACTTTTGTTGTTCATATGATGTTCTATATAACTAAGAAATTCTACGATAGTTGATACAATATAGATGATGCCACTAAGTTCGAATAGAATCAAAACTTACGGAAACAAAATGTGTATGTGTTTTAACCTGAATAGAGCTTTCTAAACACCAGTATACATCAAGGTAGCGATATATCCCATATTCTTCGCACATACCCATGACGCCTTTGACTATTTCTTCAAAAGTTTATATGGATCTTTGGGGTCACACAAATACCTACGGATGTTCCACATTGCGAAAATAGACATGTTCCTTATCTCTTTTTGATATAGAGGTAAAAGATAATAAGCCCAACAAAGCCAAATTCATATGCAACATGTCGCGTAGAATGAACGAGATTTGGAGTCTCATCGTTCCCCTTATTACACAAACGTACGTAAACACACATTTTATTCATTCACACTCATCTTTGTTCAGTTTGCAGAGATGGTTTTGGAAAGTGGTTTTAGAAATTCACGTTACTATATTGGTTTATAAAGCGGTTATTTAAATTTGCTTATCTTTGATCTTTTGTTTCCCATCGGCAGTTTAGCTAGCCCTCGTCCATTTTCAATTTTAATTTTACTTTGTCTTCTATTTGTAATAATAAGAAAAATATATTAGAAAATGAACATTCTAGACTGGAAGCAAATAATATTGTTGGGCAAAGTCATACAATATTTTTTAAGCTTAGATCCACCCGTTTCTAAATTAAAATGTGTCTTTTGAGTTGAATATTGCAACAAAGCCTTTATATACGTAAACTGTATTCAATTTTGAAATTGTATATTAAGGTTCAGGTCCGGATGCCCCTGCCAATTTAAACAAGAAATATAGTGTTCGAATATATTGGGTTACAAGGACCTCTATGCTCATATCATAGGCACATATGTACACCTGGAGATACATGTATCTTGCATTATATGAATTCATTATAAAAATATCCTTAAGGAAGTATATAGCTGATAACCTTTGGTCAACTGGAGTAAAAAATAAATGCCATTTGGTGAAATTCTCAGCTACTACAGAGGCAAACAATGACCCAATACTTTTACGCTACGTGTACCTAGTAATTATCAAATCAGACCACGTGTTAACTAACAGAAACTTTAAACCAGCCATTGATAAAGAATGTGCAGCTACCGACACATTTAGTAAATTAAAACTGAAAAATAACATCATTCTATAAACATAAATTAACACGGAAAATATGATACCACGGGGAGTGATTTCTGTATTTCTATTAGGACTTTTGTATCACAATGCTCACGCCCGAGGAGTAGAGTACGAGTTTCCAACAGAATATGGCGTTACTGTAGTGGCAATGAAGAATATAGATCAAGCTATTATCCATAATGAACGCATCTTGATTGACTTTTGTAAGTACCATTTCATAAGCATTTAAAATTTTATTTTGTCTCGTTTATTTGATAAAGATACCCTTTTTGTTTCTTTGATTTTTATTTTCTAGGATATGTTCCTTTGTGTTTTTGTGTTTGTAGGGTATGTTTTTTAGAACCTATTGGATCGAGTGAGCTTAGCGAGGATAAATACTCGTCACATATTCTTTCGTTTTGAAATAATTATCCTACTTTTGGAAATATTTAGCCCCTTTTGTAGATCCGTAGAAAAGGGGTATTGTACACTGGGAAATTCCACTTAGTTCAGTGTAACACTGCACTATATTTCCAGACACACCATGGTGCCATCACTGCGCAATTCTTGAGCCTGATCTGATAGAATTAAACAAACTTTTGAAATCCCGGGGCTATAACATCAAGGTTGCTAAGGTTGACGTCACGAAGGATGACAACAAAGAACTTATAAACCGCTTCCGGCCTGAGGGTTATCCAACTATGATTCTATTCCAGAACGGATCCGCCACTCAGTACCCTCACATTAGTAAGAATTTCAGTGCCAGCTTTTGTTGTATTTGGTACATCTAAAAATTAATCATTGTCAGATTACTGCACCAACATGACTTTATAAGAATATGAACTAAATTATCAAAATTACTGTGCACTCACCTCTTTTTGTAACCTCTAGGGCTGCTTTCAAACATTGCCAAGTTTTGAAGTTAGCCTATCTTAGCTAGTGTAATTTCAACAGATTGCTTTGTTGTGTGGTTTTATTAAGAGCAAGTTCAATCGTGAAATTACTATTTATTTTATCCCCATGCCGTTTTGTCTTATATAACCTAGGAAGCCGAAGACCAGTTGATATGCTTAATTGGATTGAGAAAAAGTCGGGATCAACGTTTGTTGAGGTGAAGGATGCTCGTGATGCTTTAAAGCAGATCAATATGTATAGTGCAGCGGCCCTTGGACTTTTTAAGGTAAGCGTTGATTGAAAATACACACTTCCACTATAAGTTGGCAACCGGAAGTGAGTATTGGATAGCTACAGTAGGTCTGAAATGACTGACAATTTGTCATCGAGATAATAGCACCCTTTTGTTTTGATATTTAAGCGGTCTATCGCAAACGAAAGATAAGAAGGGGCCTGGTAATCCAGATTGGCAATTTGTTAAAATTCAAAAGTTAAAACATTTTTTTTGGCAAAAAGGAGATTCTCGGTTACCAAACTTTGAAAAAGGAGCCTACTCGTAGTCGCAACATAACTGCATAGATCTAAATACAAGAAAGAAAATATAGGATCGGAGTGATGGAAGGTCGGGAGGTTTATGAAGAGACAATGGATTGGACTAGGATGAAGATAAAGATTTTACATCATCTTTCTATGTTTATCATTCCATGCGATGCCTATTTTCAAAAAGACACAACAGTTCTGAATTGATTTTCAGTTAATCATTTGATTTAAATTATAAGTTAAATCATGGGTTGTGTTCAAATCATTCAATTGATGTTTTCTTAGAACACAGCTGAATAGTATAAATGTATCAACATTACAGGATCTCAACTCAAAAGAAGCTAAGGCATTCAAGAAACTGGCCCGGACAAACGATGAGGTGCCATATTTTATCACATCCGCCGAAGATGTCTTTGATGAACTTGATGTTAAAGAGAGTAATAAACTGATTCTCTTCAAAAAGGTAATAATTCCGCATATTCTGTCTCTGGAAATCAAGATGGGGCTAAAATTATGGGCCCTGATTTTAAAATGTTAGGCCCATTTTCTTAACAATTGGGTCCAATAATGCCCACTAATGTCAGTTTGCCATCTAACTTGCCCCCGTTTATGTGGCAGGAGCAGGATTTTGGCCTGCCCGCCCTCATGCCCGCCTCTGAGTGATGTTATCAAATGTAGATATTAAATAATAATGTTGATAGACGCATATTACAATCATTGAAACATGGATGGTATAATATATTGCATGCGTTTTAGTATGATGAACTGAGGAACGTTTATGAAGGTGAATACAATGTAAAAGACATGGAGGAATTTATAAATTGGCATACCATTCCTATAATGAATACGTTCAACTCAGAGGTAAGAAAACCATTTTACAAATGATATATTCAACTGAACATTAGCTGAATGCTCTGAACAACATATTATATGAAAATCACGATTTCCAACATACTAGGTAGAAGATTTCCAACGTACAAGATAGGAGGCAATTTCCAATGTACAAGATAGGAGGCAATTTGCAATGTACAAGATAGGAGGCATTTTGTAATGTACAAGATATGAGGCAATTTCCAATGTACAAGATAGATGACAATTTCAAACACACTAGCACATATGCTTTCCTTCAATACTATTGCGAATTCTCATTATCTTAGATCTAGTACAGAACTTATATGTCGAGTTGGCTTATTCAGGTGTGATCATGACATTAACGATACTCGGAAAAATAAATGTCAAAGGATGTGACTTGAAATAACTGAGAGGCGTTTTGTATTCTATGAATCGCACCTGATACTTGAATGCACATTTGGTATATTAAAAAACGATTATGAAAGTAATGGTGCGTAGTATGTTATCGTTTGATATTTACCAATTATATTTCCAGAATCAGATGCCTGTTGATATCACAATGGACTTATTCTACTTTACCCACTATTTTTTTCTTTTTTGTATCTATATTTATCTAATTTTTATTTTTTTTTCAGTTTTACATCAAACTTTGTATTTCACCACTTTACTCACCATATTTTTATTAGTTACATGAAATACTGTGTTCGGATTGTGTTAATAACATTGAGACACCTCGTAGTATAACTACGATACGATTTGTTATTTTTTCAGAGTGCACCAAAGTTGTTTGGTAAAGACAGTCCCATAAACAATTACCTGATGATATTCGCCAGCGAGAAAGACAGAAACTTCGCAGCTATCATGGAAATAATGACATACTGTGCCCTTGACTTTAGAAGAAAGGTATGTCTAAATTTACATAACAATAATTCTTGTACGTCCACAGGCAATTAACCAAATTTCGATATTGATGTATAGTTTCTTTGCAGATCAAACACTACGAACTAAATCGATCTGTTAACATAAACTTTTATGATATGCCTCATATAAGTACAAGCATCTCAGTGCCCCGACGGTGCTAAATATATATTCGTAACAAAACTGCGCCCAATGTCACTAGTCACTCTCTTTATTTCAGGTTTATTTTGTTTATGTCAATTGTGACGATCCTCAGTTCGAAGGTATGCGAGCACATAGTGGAGTCAAGTCAGAAGATTGCCCAAAGTAAGTGCATTCGAATTTCTCGTTGTCGTTCGCGTACATGTATGTCACATTTTACCAACTAAAAACTCATTGTCGAAACTTACTTAAATGTTTAAAAATACATGTTCATCTTTTCATCAGAATATTTCTCCTGCCCTTCTGGATGCGAGAAATATACTGAAAGATGAACATGTATTTATCTCAACAGAACTAAATTGGGAGATATTAAATGATATAATATATAATGATATATGTAATTATTGCATACATTACATGTATATATCAAAAAGCATGATATTTCAGGCATATGTAATGATTGCATTTATATGTTGAATGATTTGATATTTCAGATATATGTTCGTCACTTTGACCAATGAAGGCAAAAGCGCTGATAAATATCTACCTCCGTCACAAAGTTGGGAGGTCGACGATATAAAACAATTTACCAATGATGTACTTGACGGTAATCGAGAGGTATGAATGGCAAATATCAGGGATTAAACTTATGAACATTTGTAGAAAACGATAAAGAGAAAATGTATTTTATTTACAATGTAGAAAACAATAATTAAGATGTATTTCATTTTACATCATAAAAACTTCATAAAATATGTTGCATTTTACAAAAATATTCATATTTGAGTATAGAACAGAGGAATTTATTCACTCTCTACCATATTTCAGAAACATTACCTTTCCGAGGATACCCCTGAAGATTGGGATTCAGAGGATGTTAAAATTCTGACGGGAGGAAACTTTGATTCAGTAGCTAAAAACAAAGAAAATAGCGCATTTGTGTTCTTTTGTAAGTTTCAATTTTGCTTTTCGCATCCATTTTTTTTATAAAATTATTAATTCAACATACACACAATACAAGTTACAAAGTACACGTACGAGGCGCGATCAGAAAGTAAGTAACCAACTGCGCTCATCTTTGCATACTTTATTCATTCACATTGAAATTTTCACAGATAATGCAGAAATATTAGATATTATCCTATTAAATAAGATCAATGACAATGGGCTAGTGTCAATTCCATTGTTATGGGTGTTGCTATGGTGACAATTGTTTTTGTTTAATATGTGAATATTTTCTACATCATCTGTGAGAATTTCAATGTGATTGAATAAAGTATGAAAAAATAAGAGCAGTTGGTTACTTACTTTCTGATCGGGCCTCGTACACATACATTTACATATAATAAATGATTTTCGCATCTATGAACTCTTGCCCGTAGCCAGCTTTTCCCAAGGGAAGGGAGTGGCTTTTGCTAAGGGGAGCTTTTTTACAGTTTTTGCTAAAAGATCATGCGAAAAGTGCTCAGAATGGTGAAAACTGCATGATTTTGAAAGGATTTCCAGCCAGGGAAGCTCCCCCAGCTCCCCCTGGCTACGGGCCTTGAACTACATGTCAAACTTGTGTCAAACGTCATACACGAATCACATGTTGGTCACAAAAGTAACTCGCAGCTTGCAATGGAGCGTTATCATTAATATAAAGTTACTACTGTACGAAACTCTGTTGAAGTTGTCTCAGGCCTCTGAAGTTGATTTCTTGGATTCTTTCTAGATGCGCCATGGTGTCAGCATTGCCAAGCTCTTCAACCATTTTGGGAGCACTTAGGGGAGATATATTCTGGCAGAGATGACATCATAATTGCCAAGATTGACGCTACAAGAAATGAAATTCCTGGTTTTCTTGTGACCGGCTATCCAAGGCTAATGTTCTTTCCAAAAGGAAGTGATGAGGTACTTGTGAAACTTATTGTTTGAATTTTGATAATAGTCCTTGAACGGTGTCGGAAAGCGGGGGCCATTCTGGTTACATTTTGTAATGTTTTTCTAGTTTTTGAATTTTTCTATTATGGCAGTTGTCTTTCATATATGCCAGTGTTATCGATGCTGTATGAGGTAGTATTTATACATTTGATATCGAGGATCAAAGTCAAGTACTTTTTTATTACTAACAGACATAATATAATTAATTCATAATGTTCATGAATGTTCCAGTAAAACTTCTATTGAATGTACAATAATCGTTGTGCTATTATCATATGAGGAATTTCTCTCAACTTGTTCAAACTCGTGGCTAAGGTTAATTGTATTCCAGGTTGTTGATTACAAAGAGGAGAGATCAATGGATGGCCTAACCAAATTTTTAGAGGAAAAAGGCATCCCAAAAACCTTAAATGAAATCGAGGCCGAACCCGATGAAGACGAGGCCGAGGTCAAGGACGAACTATGACCTATTCAGCATCTACTTTCTATGCATTACTTCGTTATATCTATGTAGATGAATTGTTTTAATATACAGAAATAAATGATATAAAATCGATAATATTCCGTTAATTGTTGGGCATATTTAACTGGTTGTTTGTCCTGTGATTTTGTCCATTTTCATACATCTTCCCAGCTATTTTTGTAAGATAATATTTTAGTACATTGAAATTGTTTTTGTACTTTGACCATAAGCTTCGTTACGGAGTTACGGATGAAAGCACAGATCAGGGCAGTCTGTCAAAATATCAAGCAGGCGTATCCCTAAACATTTCCATATTGACCACCAGCTCAAAAACATCCTTTTAATTTTTAGTGTATGTCGATATGTCCACTCATTTATGATAATTTAATTATAAATTAATTTATAAGAGATGTTTTATATATTAAAAATCCACTCAAAATAAATAACGTGTTCTACAAATCCGTTTGTAAAATCTGATAACAGAATTTAAAGCATTAAATTGTGATTTTAAGAATGATGAGATATAATCTAATTTATATTTTTTTGTCATTATACCATATGATGGTATCCCATAGTAGCCTATGTATAAATAGATAATAGAACGTCATAAAAGTATTAAGTTTTGATTGCTGTTTACAAACGATTAGTTGCTTCATATTGAAGCATAGATCATATGGATGTAAATAAAGTTCACCTGGTCAACCGTATAGCCGATACCCTGAATCGTTTTCTACAAACTTGACTTCCCTCTAACAATAAAATTTGATTGAATAAGTGAGTATACGGTCTTAACGAGCTTAAATGTATATATGTATATTCACGGAAGATGAGTATAAGTTATTAATTAGGTCTGGGGGTAAATGGATTACATGTAATGTCGTAATTATCAAAACTATCAAATATGAAAATAGTGCAGTTCTTGACGAGTGTAGTTGTTCGTATTTATTGATTTATTGCTATTGTTATTGTATAATTCACGGTTTCTATTAGATTTTACTTAGAATAAAAGCTACCTCATATCTTATGAATGGGTGGTATCCAAAGTCATTTTTATTTTAAGTCGAACCTTTTTGATTTTAAGTCAAACGATTTTATTTGATGATATATATATATTTAAATTAATATTTCATATATAAAAGCAATGAGCAGTTGTTAGTGTATTGCAAATTTTCAAGTAATATCAAAATAAGTACATGTAGGTAATGATTAGAGGACTTCCAAACTAATGCAAAGCAGTGTACATTGTAACATTGTACTTTGTAGGCGTTCTATGATATAGAAATATTCAGAAACCATGTCGATATTGGTATTTAAACAAATAGATTTATTTATGTTTTGACATAATGTTCTCAATATATCAACACGATCCAATACCTATAACAAGTTTGATTGCTTGATTGATTGGATTCCTCTCGGCTGGTGGCGGTCTAGCAACTTTTATTTCGTTATTACTACAGTCTCTGGCTCATTACGAGATCGTTCACCTGTTCACCTTGAATTTAATATAATGTAATTGACAATTAAAAATACATTGATAACATCAATATTATATTAATATAATTGTGTAAATGACTAGACTAAGAGAAACAAGATTAGAAAACAAGCTTAGCTTAATAGAAACAATAAGACTGGTTTAATTTCTAAAACATTGATTAGAAATAGTATGTAACATCCACACTAGATGCAGTTGCAAGTAACTACATTGGAGTACAATCTGGGTAAACTAGGAATGAACTAAAAAATATACTAGAACTACACTAGGAATATATGTGAAATACACATAAATATTAGGGACTATACCAGAAATTTCTTCAAATAAACAAGAAATTCACTGAACAATACTAAAATATTTTGGAGTAAACTGTATTAGAAATACACTAGAAATGTACTCAGAGTGTAATACTTAAGGAACAAACTAGATACACTAAGGAAATGTTAGTAGAACTACACAACAATTAAATAGTTAGAAACACACTTTTACTAGAAATATACTAGAAAAATACATTAAAGATCCACTTGGAATAAGTGAGATGCTACCTAATTGGAAAGGACTATTGTTTCTATTAGTTCAAGTTATTGTAACTGTAACTGGACAATTTCCTGGCCTATCTAGAATTGGTAAGTTGAACAATTTAGCTTTGTAAACAATTAAGATATTGATGAAATCTTGGTGATTTAAAGATACAATTGATTGGAATCATCGATTAATTAATGTTTAAAATATATTGGGATGTCAAAAGTACAGCTGAACTGATCCATGGGTTTATGGAACGCAGAATACAAACTTAAATCAACTCTTTTGAACCGGATAACAGGATAAAGGTGCAATCTTATATTTCATATATAAGATAATCGCCAATCTACATTTTGCCTCTAAACAATAGTACAATTTGGGGGAAATCGTAAAACTCAAGATTTCCAATGGCCCTAAAGACTGATTGACAGCAAGAATTCAGGGGACTTAATTAGACATTTTAGTTTGTAAATATACTCCCATGATAAATTTCTATCAAAATATCAAAAACATCATGATATTGAATCATAAAATATTGTCAATATAATTGTAAAGAGTAATATGATATTAGTTTGATTTATATAGTGTACATCATGTTCCAATCCAGCAAAATCTTCACACAAACCAAAGAGGTAGGTTTGGAGAACAACTAACAAGAGGAAATCAGTGAATATCCATCTTTATGTGTCCTGGCTCCCATTTTTACCTTTAAATTTGTAGTAGAAAGGATACATGACGATATCTTGGAACAAAACGATTTGAATACAAAATGTCGGTGTCTCCCTATTCTAGCCAATGTCAAATTCTATGTTTATCAACGTTAATATGAAAGGTCATTTGATATAAAGTACAATAACTAAAGGTCGATGTTAAATTACAAGGCAAATAAACATCTGTTTTGCTAAAATTCATTCATCAAGATAATGTTCTTGTATATTGCAATTAAAAGTTGTTTTGGGGAATTGCATTTGCATGCCAATATCATGAAACTTGTTTAAATGATTTATGTAAACATCGACTAAAAGCACAGAAATGAATTTCAACTCGTTAATGCCTGGGTCACATTTGTTCTGATCCATTGACCGGCGCCCGGCCGATTGAGTGTTTTGCTCAATATTGTATTCAATTTTGAACAAAATACTCAATCGGCCGGGCCTGAGCAAATGTGACCAAGGCATAAATGAAAATTATCTTGAGTAGAACCTACAGACTGTCATGTACCAAAACAAAATTAAACCACTTTACAATGCAAGAATAGGAGCACACCAACTACGACTTCCAAGGCATTATTTACAAGTATGATATACCTGTGAGGTTTTAGCGACTGAAACACGTCTTTGATATTTCTATAAGTCCGTCTGGGACCTGGATATGATAAAACTGATCCATAGCCAATTAACACTGAATAAAACTGTATTCTGAATTGTAGGAGACAATATTATTTGGTTTCCTAACGATTTAGATATGAAATACATAATCCTTTTTGAATAACTGGTTTAGTTTGACCGATATGTGCGCCTTAAAGTATCAGTGTATTTAATTGATAAAAAACAATTATTATATTTTGATGATGGCTGTGTCTGTTTTTACTAAATTGTTCTCAGAATCTTAATTAGACATTGAGCCTTTCGCAATTCAATCGTCTATATGATTAAACCAAATCAAGATGTATACAAGATGTGGTATCATGTTGTACTATTTATAGGTATTATTAATTTAAGAGCCAATTAAACCCACAACCCCATTTTCGTGGTAATAAGGATTCACCTGAAAACGTTGCCATCGTTTCGAGCTTTTAGCTGAAAAATTACTCGTGAGAGATTTACTGAAATCGCATCACTTTAAAACACGTGTTTGTAGTCGCAAAAAACTATAATTTCACAAAACACACTGGATGATACTCTTTGAATAATCTACTTTCAAATAATAATGTTTTGGTCAGAGATCCATTACACTTCATTTTATACCTTTAAAAACTTATATTTATCCTATGCCAAACACCCATGAAAACTACGTTTGAGACTATTAAGATTTCAGCAGCATCAAAAATATTAAACAATCGGTAATAATGGGGGGGGGGGGTAGTTAAAAGTGTGACTTGCCGACAGGAAATCATAATAAGAGTGTGCAAAAATAGGTTCGTTTATCTGAAGTATTGCAAAGTATCGATCCTTATTTGACATATACGCTGTAGACAAGTTAATAAAATGATGATTAAATGTCAATAAATAATCCGTTTTACAAGATACAACCTGTATAAACAAATACTCTGATAATTAAAAGCAAGAAATATATGTTTTAATGGGAACATACATGTACTTACCACAACAACACTGCTACATGTATAAAAGGAGCAAATCAAACAACGAAGCCACATAATACAGGGTGGTAAAAATGGAAACCCCTACACCATTTTCCTCATTTCTTTGTCATTTTAAAAAATGAGTGCCTAATATTTTACACATTTGTACATCATTCAATTTCCTACCAGCCCACTTTATTTAATGACCATCAGATTGATAGTCACAATGTTACAGCGCTTTAAAGAACATATCCCCAATGGCCACTATTGCGCTGTCGGGAAACCTGTACTCATCGTCTAAAATGTCCCTACCTTTGGGGATATGACAGAGATAGACAATTGTAAACCTCAAAAGTGAGATCATCTGTGTCATTCAGGCCACACCTGCTGAGGGATACATTCGGGTCATTGACAACTGTGCTATTTTGCCTACAGCGCGATGATGGCCAAACATGAAGCATTTTATTCATAGTGCTGTAAAATTGTGACTGTGTGCTGTAAAATTGTAATGATCATGAAATATGGTAGGATGGTAGAAAATTGAATGATGTATAAATGTGTGAAATATCAGGGAGTATAAATATGACATTATTAAATGACAAAGATATAAGGAAAATGCAGGGTTTCCATTTGTTGACCACCCTGTACAATATTACAAGACAATTACAAACATCTAAAATCCGATCTAGCCACACAAAGCTACGAAAATAAAACATGTTTCGTGAATTAATGAAATTGAACTTATAAGGTAGTGAATTGAATTAATATACGTGTCTTCATCTATAAGGTAAGTGTAAATGACTTGACAAAATCTTTTCTAATCTAAGGGTATTTACACCCTCCCCCATATATTTGGTAACCGGAAATATCCTTTTGGGTGACTCATTAAAGACCTGTCTGTTTATTTTTGGCGATTTATAAAATTGTTATCGAGGGGAGTGTATGTCATAGTGATATTTCTATTTTCAGTATGTTTGGACATTACGTTCCTGTTCGATACATCGTGTTCAATCAGCAGTCACGACAAGCGGCGTATGGTTGATTTCGCAATAGCATTACTACAACGGCTCTCATTTTATGTAAGTCAGTCACACATAAACTATGCCAAGGAGGATTGGCTCCAAGGGTGTCAACTCCATATTCGACCTTGACCTTGATCGATGACAACATTGAAAATGTCTTTATTTTCTGATATTATAACTGGCCATAAATTCAAAACCAGCAATGCAAAAGTCTGAACTAATATCCTGATCATTTCTTGTGTGTTTTTAATTTTTTGTTTGGAATTAAATAAGATCAAAACCTTCAATTCAAATTTTGAAGTGAAAGAATGGCGGATGTTATAATTTTGAAATTTGTGTTTTATCAGAACACGCTATATTAAATAATATTCATTCTTTATTTTACCCCAGCGTGGGTTGCTAGTTTTTGATTCACAGAAATTGACTACCCTCATCAATGTTACAGGCAGCTGAGTGTAAAACTACAAATTAAGATTATTTTGCAATGTATGAATATGCACTCGAGTCTTGTGTCATAACCTTTGAATTCGGGCTACACTGGCACTCATGGCATTGTTGATTAAAATCTTTAATTGAGCCCTGGGCTTAAATCCTTAATTGATGAACTCATAGTGGTAAGCAACGGAAAGTCATAGATGACTCTCTTAATCGTATTTATTATTCAACTGTCATTTATTGTAAGTAATTATCCGTGTATTACCCCTCTTGATCTTTGTTCCGAAGGTATTGCAATTCTATCATTGATTGTTGACAATAACTCTTACTAATGCGAATGCAGACAGGAATTTTTCATAACAGAGGCAAATGTGTCAGATGTCACCTACCTCTTCCATTCCGCCTATTGTAAAAACATCAATGGACTTTTAAAATCAACGATTGTTTAAAAAAAACATGTGTTAATATCTAAGTCGTTCAGCATGGGTTTGAAATCCCATAATGATTTGAATAATTAAACCGTGTTCAAAGTTTTATCATTCTATAAGTTGCATTGGTCTATACCCAATTCTCACGGTTTTATAGCCATTTTACAAAACATGCAATAAAATGATGACGTCAAGTCTGAAGGCAAAATTGGACGTTTTGGGCAAAATGGGACCACACCATTTTGCTTATATTTTGTTTCAATGTTTCAAGGGCTGTCGATGTTGCAACACAGATAAAAATCTGGTGCAGTGTGTTTTAGTATTGTCTGATTCGGATTATGTTTTGTAAAATCATGACCATTTGAACTAGACCAATAAAAGTTGGTAGAATGAAGGAAAATTAATTAAACGAGATATAATTGTGGCATATATGACGTTATTATCATGCTGAATGACCGAGTTATTAACACATATTCGTTTGGGTTGCGTTTCTTGGCTCACTCTGTACACCAGCTATTGTCAGCAAGAAGATGATCATGCAACTATAGCATTTTCTTGAATATCAAAGATCGGAATTGCAACAGCAAACTTTTACATTGTCGTCTTCGTTTGAAAATAAGAAATGATCGTGAAGCGTAACTGTCAACCTCCTAAATATTGTTATTTGTGCCTATATTTTACGGCCACGTGACACAATTATAAAATATCTAAACGCCTTGGCTAAATGTTCAAACACAATACTGTGTCAAACAATTTCCTCAAGATAAGCATGAAAATGATCAAAATGGAGTGAAGTCATTTTAGTACAATTTTGACAGCTCCATTATGTGTTTTTATTACAGGACAATCCTGGAGATGGCTTGAGTGTCCGAGTTGCCGCAGGCACTTTTGATCTTGGTGTCAAACATCAGTTTTACCTACATGACAATGAGAAAGGTAATTATAATGACGCCATCTTTTTCACAAGACCGAAATGCCATTTCTTTATTGAAAATGACAAAAATAATTTGTACATCATTTTAATTTTCATTGATAATTCAATTTAAAGATTATTTTACAATATTGATAGATGTCGCTCAGATAGTGGAAGCACTGAACAAAATAGCCCTGGGACCAGGTGGATGCAAGACGCGCACATCAGATATCATAGAAGATCTCACAACAGACTTCTTCGTTGAGGTGATATTTTATAATTGAAATATAACCTTTTATTGAGGTACGTCGTTTGTTTGATTAACTACTAATGCCAACCCTGAAAGTTGTAACATATAACGGGAGAGCATCGATTCGTTCACAACAACCAGAGATTGTCAAGCTTAATTCAGATTCTTTTAGGAGTTTAGGGTTAGGGGTTGGGGTTGGGATTAAGAGCTTCGAATTCAGTTAGGGTCGGGTATCTTCGGCCTTCTCCGGTGCATACGAAAAATCGATACCCAATACTTGACGTAAATCTCGTCCCAGCGTGAATCTCGCTCTCGATCACATAAAACGAGATTATTTGACATATACATGACGGCTTGTTTCTATAGTGATATATTGCAGGAAAATGGTGACAGAGACAATGTACATTATCCTAATGTTGCGATAGTTTTTGGTGACGCCCGAACAAAACCCAACAGGCTGCGAAAGATTTTGAAGAATTATGCTGACTTTGCAAAATCCCAGAGAATTGATATAAACCTTGTGTTGTTCCGTAACAAGTAAATGAACTTTAGCCTCAATCATATTTGCTCTACGGCGGGCATACGGCGATCGTAGCTTCACCAAATTGATATAGAAAATCTACATCGTATTGCTTATCCCTGTATTTAATGCTGCATATTTCCCTCGATTTTGGGAAGCTACGGCCGCCGAATGCTTGCCGTGGATCAAATTTGACAAATGAGACATTAGTAATTACGAGAAGGTATATTTTTACAATTCGATACAAACAAATTTAATTTCATGAATGTCTTCCAATAGCAATTAATGTGACTTGTTTGTGATAACGGTATGACCGCTTACTGTACAGCTTGGCGTCCTTAGAAATGAAATATGTTGAACTAAAATATTCTTCAAAAACGTGGTTCCAGTCGCCATGGTGTAAGAGGACGATTCAAGCCACCCACTGATCTTGATATACTGCCATCAGAACCAAGAGAGGAGCACATATTTGACGTGCGTAACGAGGAAAGGAGTGCCATAGAGCTAGAGAGACTGGCCACGCATCTGGAAAGAAATTTCTTCTGCCCTCTATTCGATGACCCGATGACAAGTATGGCTATCGTAATTCCAATCTGTTCTCAACATAATTTTATTTAATTGCTAGAGAAAGGAAATGTCATAACTGTCATTAATTAAAATCGGAAATTGCATGATAAATTAAAGAATTTCAATTAAGCGGACGCACCATAACTATCTTCACTTGTAATGTTTCGAATTTCTAAAAATCGTTCAATATTCAACAAAATAATAATATATTTTCAGTTTGTTCGGACATAGTATTTCTATTTGATTTCTCGTGCAGTATTGAAGAAGAGACGAAACAGCTGAGTCTTAGATTGGCTAAAGAGATCGTTAAAAGAATCCTTCCGGGACCTGACCTTACAACATACGCTGCTGTAGTGTATGACATCGTACCAAGAGTCCAGTTTGGATTTGATGAAGGAGAGGATCCAGTCACTGTACTCAACAATCTAGATGCAATTGATACAACTCCGCTGGACTGTCGAACATTTACAAACGTCGCCCTAGATAAAATACGTGATGATGTTTTCAACCCCGGTAATGATCGCGATGACGCATTTTACCAGGACCTCGTTATCGCTTTTACAGACGGCATGACGTCCCCTCTCAATAAACGTAACAAAACGCTGGAATCCGCCAAACGACTGAAGGAGAATTTCATTGAATTAATGTTGGTTAAACTTGAAAATAACAGAGGAAAATCAGGGGATGCCTTACCTGAGTTAAATGCACTGCCAACGGATCCAGACAAAAATATGGGATTTGTTTACCCACTAGACGAGGAAAGTTTCCTCGACGAGGATAACTTCCAAACGGTACTTGAAAACATGATGCTAAATTTGGAACGTTATGCCTGTTAACTTATGTCAATCGAAATAAAATAGTCTTTGTATCAATCACACCGGCCAAAATGTTTAGCTTTGACGAGTCCATTTCAAGTTTTCAAGTCCCATCAAGTTTACATTTTAAAAAGAAAAAACATGTTTTACAAAAACCACACACTTGACACAAGTAAAGATGAAAGAATAGATCACATCAAGGCAATAACAAAAACACACAGCACTTTTGTAATTGGTATACATTTTTTTTTTTTTTTGATTTGGCATGAAATAAAATTGATCAACAGCAAACGAATGGTGTTTTATACGTATTTATTTGAAACACATCCACATATAATCAAATCTCAGTCATATAGTAACTTATCAATGGGAAAAACTGAATGTCATAAAATTTAGTCGTTACCAACATTTTACTCAACATAGTTGTGTTAATGTACTTATCGATTCTATTTCCCTCAAAGTATATAACCATCACGAGATAGTATAACGTATGTATTTCCAGAAAGCTTTTTGTTCTACATAGTTATGCATTGTATTGACGAAATTGTACTGATGAAATTATTAATATGCATTCTGATTTGAACATATTTGTTGAGACACCTGTTTTCAAACCATTGCCTTACAAGTATGTTAATTATGAATTATACAGTCAGTGTGTCTCATAATGAAAATCCCATCCATCGTCAATGATAGAAAATATTCTCGCTATGTTATATACCATACGAAAGCTATATTATCATTGTTAAGTCATTAAACTTTTGATAGGCCCCATGTATTGTTATAACAACTTGTTCTAAATCGCTACAAAATGTTCCCATTTGACATTTAGACTACAATTCCGTGAGAAACATTTTCCAGTAACTACAACATCCTAACCACGAATTCTAGATTGAGCACCTTTTTCATAAATTCAGGTGATGCCACCCTTTGACCAAAGAAGCATTTTTTAATTCAACTGCTGGCTGGCGGACTAGCAAACTATTTTATGGCCAACTCATTTGAATATGAAAAGTACCTATGAATAGAGTCTGGATTTTTATATTTGTACCCCTTTCATGAGTCAATAAAAAATCAATGTTTCTTGATAGTTACATGTATTCCATTTATATAAAAATGACTTGGCCATGAGAAGTAGGTTAAACCATCAACCGTCAGTTGAATTCGCGAATGCTACCTTAAACTAAAGGCTATAACCAAATAAAACATTGGTCTCTCCTCCTACAGATGTTAACAAATTAGCTCCCTGGTGTGGAAAGTTAGTGATATACATCTTGATCCACCTTTGCTCGCTTTGCGTCTTTTTAAGTGTCTTTATGAAATGTATGAAAAGCTTGTATAAAGCAGATAACAGAGAGTAGCAATAATCATAACGTTCGTTGAAATAACGGATTCTGCGCCATTTACACCTTGCGTGGTTGTGGTACGCGGTGATGTTGTTGTAAGAGATGGATCTTGTGTTATTGAAGGGTCGATGGTTGCTGCAGCTGAAATAGCATAGAAGAAATGACAGATTCATGTTTATGCTTATGTTTATTTCATTTTTTAAATTCACACAAATATACAATGCATGAGTATTCCCAACAAATATTTGGCATGCGTTACCTCCTCTGATTTTTCATTGGCAGCTACATAGAGCGTAACTGATTAAAATCTCTAGATCTTTAAACTATTTTTGTTACTAACACCACTGATAATGTATGCTAAAATGTCAATAAAATATATAACAACACTTGTACTTGGGGGAGGGAGTGCTCACAAGGGATTGTAACTTAAAACCATTGAAGGCAAGAAAGTGAACAAGCCTTAAAATCAGAACATGCCAGAGGAGACATTGTTAATATAAAGTCATTGTTTAGTTTGTATAGCTAAAGAACTGTGACCAACCAATGGTAATAAGTAACGTTCGGGTTTTGGACGACAATTAAGATGGCAGGAGCGGTAGAATCCCATCAACCTTTCTCTCTAAAGCGGATGATGAGATTCCCCATATTGAGAGATTTCATTGTCTCCTTCGATGACCAATTTTATAAAATGGGATCGTTTGCCATTACAATTGATCTAAGGATGTTAAATGTTGCATTGTTTTTTTGGATATTATCAAAAGGTTTGGATAGGGTAATTGAAATACGATCACCGTCGTTTAGAATTGATGATGGTCAACTAATATGACTGCCATTTCCAAAATAGCAAATTTTACTTTGCATGCGTTTCTCTTAGCAAACATGAGCTCGTGATTATTCATGTGATAATATCCTTCTAAATGATGGGATAGCGTATCAGCTAATATGCATTATGCTGATTATTTATTAATGAGCGGTACAAAATTACAAGTAATTATGGGGGCAACTCACTTCTTTTTTGGCATGCCGTGTTTAATAAAAACTATTTCTATGTGGTTTAAGGATTTAAGCCCTGGACTCAATGTTATTTGGAATGACCATTCATTGAAGGCGTTGATTTCCAAAATCTGCACGAGATACATAGCATCGAGTGTTAAATTTAGGAAACAACGCCTGAAAGGAATGGCCGTTCCACATTGCATTGAGCCTTACGCTTCAAATCTTTTCACACAACAAAATATTTTCTACCATCACTTAAATGATACGAAATCACTTGGACAACATATTTTCAGTGACACTTTTTGCAAGGGTCACGTTGACAAACCATCAGTCTCAATCTGTAGGGTCAAGTTGTTACCTTGACAACCACATAAGGAGTGACCTTGGATGCGGTGGTTGGTGATATAATGCACTGTAGTTATATGTAACGCTGTGTTCTAATTGGCTGGAATCGGACATACCTTACCTAGCTATATGTGATTAAATCTAATTGAATTCTGAAATCCTCCGTGATATGGTTCAGGGAAAGACTATTGAATAAAACCTACCAATTCTTTTGAATGTGACCCTTATTTCGCCAACAAAAGGCCGTCCATCGATAACGTAAAGTTCTCCTTGGTAGCCTCCATTCCCATCTGATGTAAATGTTATCTCCCCTAGCTTATCAGTGATATCTTGGAATATGCTCATCACTGGACAATAGCTGGAAATGTGTATATTTGTGACACCTAAGACATACACCTGAATATCTAAATTAAGTTTCATTATGAAAAATAGGCAAACACAAAGGGTATTTTCATTAAATGGGAACTAAAGGGCTATTCTCCCTGCTTTTGACAATTTTTTTTACATAATATAGATTTGAATGTCTTCTTTTGAAAACTCGTACTTTAATTTGGGTGATATTTCTAGATTTTTCATTAAAAATTATTAGCGCAGTACACTGATGAACTTCTTTCTCCAAATCGAGACTTGTATTTTATTGAATCTACTGCACCGTTACCCCTGCTTCGGACAATTGTGATATCTTTACATCTTGTAGATTTAAATGTCCTCTTTTGAATATTTATAATTTAATTTGGGTGATATTTCTATATTTCTCATAAAAAAACATTAGTCCACGAGACTCTTCTCCAAACCGAGACTTGTCCTTTCTTAAAAAGACATTGATCATTTCCTCCTCAGACAGACAAGACTTATTGGAAAATATATATAAAACAGTATCAAAATCAAATATACTTTAAAGCTAAACTGTGTTAGATTTTACTACTTACGTATTATCCTTGTTGGCGCATGGGTAATAGTCGACCTGACATAGTTCTTGGTCGGGTTGAAAAGTGGATGCAGCGACGTATATTGTAGAAAATGGTAGTTCTATTGGTCCACCAATAGGAATGTTCACAGGTTCGACCTCGTAGGTACCCTCCCATGGTTGTGGACTACTCAATGGAAGCTTTACGGGTAACCTAAAGATACAAACAGTCATACCAATCACACTGGCGGGGGAGGGGGGGGGGCAGGCCGCCCTGGATGGGCCCAGAAATTTGTGGTTCAAGACCTTTAAGGGCCTCAATTAGTGGGCCCCTTTGGGCATTACTGTGACTTTTGGGGCCATTGTGGTTTCCAGATCCGCTCCTAAAATACCTTCCAAAAACGTGTTTTCAGATATTGCCTCTCGTGTAACATAGTACTGTAGTTTATGAAACTTATGCAAATATTGTCCACATAAGATTTATACCATAAAAATTCCAAAATTAGGGTAGGGTGGCATCATTGAAGCCCGTTGTGGTTTCAAATTAGTCATCGTTCGTCGAAAAACTATCTGTATACGGCGGTTGGTTTCAATGAACAGCACCTATGCATCGGGCAAAAACATTCTATCTTTATGCAAGCCCGTCCGAAGAAGAGAGGCATTTGGGGCGACAGCTCCCCCTTTCAATTTTTTTCAGAGACTTGTGCTGAATGATGCAAATATGGCTCTCAGACCCCCTTAACTTGTGGCGCTACGCACGGTAGACACTTTGCTTGGGTGTGTCGGCTAAATCCGTATGGGAAATCCTTCGGACGGACCTGTTGTGTACAAATGCTAAGCGAATATGGTATAAATGCATACGTTGTCAAGTAACACAAAACAAGTAACACGTTGGTAAAACTTGTGTACCTTGTATTAAATTCCACATTTGCTTGTGCTGCATCATCCCAACCATAGACACCTGCCACTGAACGAAACAACTCCCCCAAAAGGAAATGTCCCCGACTACACCCTAGATTAGACATCATCACTAGACCTCTACCATCTGTATTACCAATGATCTCGCTACAATAACCCTCACTGTAGCCAGTATTGTAAAACCATTTACTAGACTCCCGTCCGTCCCCTATTTCTGTTCCCAAACCAAACCGTGCGCCCTCTACTGACGGTAATTGTAATGTAAGCATATTTGACGTAGATTCAGCATCTGTGAAGCATGGGATTTGAACAATCATTATTAGAACTCAATATAGGTAATGCTTTTATTGTTTTTAAAATGTTTATTTTACCACCAAGAAGTGGTGACATATTATGGTGCTCTCCGTTTTTTTTGAGGCGGCGGTTGGTGGTTGGCGGTTGATGGTTGGCGATCGGCGGTTGTTACCAATAACTTAACAAATACTGTTTAGACTGACTTCAACTTTTTTCCAAATCATCTTCATGTTTTCAGAAGTTCAAATCTGACTTTACATTAAAAATTTGACCTTCAATAACCTTTTCAAGGTCAAAACAGGTTAAAAATGTCAAAAAGGCCTATTTTCAGCTTGCTTCAAATTGACCCAATTTTTTCAAAATCATTTACAGGTTATCAGAAGTTCAAATCTGACTATAGATTTAAGATTTGACATTCAATGACCTTCTCAAGGTCAAAGAAATCTCAAAAAGGCATCAGAAAGGTTCTCAAAAATTCAAATCTGACTTCAGATTGAACTAATAATATTGTGAGCACCTAGGCGAAATTTTGTCATGTTAATGCCTTGTATGAACTATGCATTTGGGAACTTTAACACACCTTTAGAAGCTTAAATGTTCATGATATTACACTTACTTAATATCGAATTTGGGTCTCCACTCTGACCTTTAGCAATATTAATGACAAGTTTAGCCAAGTCAGCTACATTTGACCATAAACCTTGGGCAGCTGATTCTGGGAAACGGTTCCAGTTACCTATGAAATAATCGATGTAATAATAGAATGAAGGGCCACGAGTGATATATCCAATATCTTGCAGACGTTAAATCAAGATATTGGGGAGTTTAAGCTTGCAATGTTTTCACAACCTAAACGTGAACGGAAAACATTTAAGCGATGCATTTGTATTGACGATTGGTCATACGTATACAGGTAGGTTGCGTTTTGATTTTATATGCAAGCTTAAACTCCCTATTAACCAGTTGAAGGCAACCAACCAGTTTTAATAAATTATACCGATTATACCAAAACAGGAATCATATTTATGGCTATACAAAAAAATGTGCATTGGAGTAATGTATAAATTGCAAGTTCACTTTTTTACAAACAAACTAGAAACTGAACGTGAAAACAGCTGAACAAAATTAAAAACCAATGATATCTTAGACTGAAAATCCTACACTCAATGCATGCGAATAGAAGTCTTTTGATAAGACTATATTTGTAGTGAAAACCTGGCACAGAAGTTTCCTTAGAACTGTTGCAACGATGGCCGAATGCTACGTCATTAGTGTCACTGTAGTCCCTTAGTGCAAAACTACTAGATGACATATTCACTTTGTCCAGAACCTAAAACAAAAACTACAGCCATCTAGATTTAATCATTCAAAAAAGATTTAATCATGTCAACGTAGTGTCAGCGGTACATTCTGATCCATAACAACAATTTCCTTAATTTTAGGGGTTCGTGACTGACTGAACTAACGAATTCTCACCATATCCTGTACAATTGTACTATACGGTAGTCCTGTAACATCTTCCAGTAGTTGCTGTAATGCAGCGAATCCCCCAGACGAATAATCTTCTTGTTCACCAGGAGTTAAAGGACCGTTTCCTAACACATCGAGGAGGTCTTCTATCAGTTCCACCTAGAATAACTTACTGCAGTGAGGATATTCGTTTCTACTTAATCTACTTGAAGACGTGTGTTTTAGTCGAAGCTTTAACCAAGGCGAAGGCCAAGGCTTGAGTAATGGAATAAAAAATGACATAATCCTCACAGTCAAAACATGTTCGCTTATTCAGAATTATAATCTAAACTTTGCGTTCTTAGCTTGGAAGAGTAAGATTGTAACTCAACCTTCACGTTGTTAGCTGGTACTTCGCCGTTTAGAGTTTGAAGAAGGGTCGGAATGGGAGCGCCTTGGGCATAACCTTCAAACTCTTCAACTTCAACTGCTCCACTGTGACTTAACAGATGTTTCAGTTTTACGCGATCGTCTTGCACTCCTTCGTACTCAATCTGAAAACATGTAATGTTATTTTGAGCTTTGAATTCATCATTTGATGATGTAAAAATGTTATACATTATATGTTGAGTCCTTATTGCTATCAGATGCAGATTTAAGTTAACTTGTGAAATAAAATACAAAATATCAGAATAAGTAAACGTTTATTTTGAATCAAACTGGTGACATTCCCCAAACCTTCCAAGATGTCAGGTATTCGTTGATGTTCTTCTCTAGATCCAAGGTCCCATTTTCTACGTACTTCAACGTAGCCAGTGACGTCAGCAAGCTACTCAGAGTCCCTGCCTGGTATACAGTGTCCGCGGTAGAAGGTACACCTTGTGAAGAAAACAAAAGAATAAAACTTTGTGAAACTACATACCAAACGCTCAATATTTTTTACTGAGTGACACATTACTAAAAAGTAGAGCACTGTGAGTCCCCAGCGAGTTTCAAATGGTTTTGAAGAAATAATTGACACGTGGTTACGATGTCATTCTAACAGTTCCAGGGGAGAAATAAGATTGAGTTGGAGCTTATTTTCAAAAAATCAATTTTGTTTACAAACAGTTCTGCCTGGACCGTAAATCGTGCCGATATACCCAAAATAATTGAGCAGCTCCCATAATTTTGGGGTATTACTTGGTATTAGGGGATTCCCCTTAGCTTTCCTTACATGTTCCTACAAGCCATAAATGAATCTATCACAGATATTCAAAATGGCGGACAACAACAAGTTGGATTCCTATGTAGTCCCATTAGCCTTATATGGATCTATCACATGTATAGCGCGTGACCCAATACGAACACTGAACTTTGGGAGATCCCCCTGCAATATACCCTTATTTCCTTGGATCACAAAAATGGGCCAGGGTTTGTCCGAGCCATTGACTCAGTGCAATGTTGAATGACCATACCTGGAAGGTGTTGCTCTCAAAAATTTGCACGAGATGCGCAGCATCGAGTTTTAGTTTTTTTGTCATTCCCCAATGCATAGAGTCTTGGACTTTAATACTTTTCACACATTGCAAAATAGTTTTTACATTTACCACTAAAAAGATATGAAATGACCTAAAATAATATATTTTCTTTCAAGTAAGTTTTTAGGATTGAAATCTTGCCCGCGGTTAAAAAAGCATGTACAAAAATACAGGCTGAAATCATGCCCAGGTTTCACATTACCGATTGCCATCTTGCGCCGCACAAAGACAATGTGCCACAAAGGGACTGTAAAACATGATGTATGTGTACAGGCGTGGCTGACTGCGACACTTACCGTCTTGGGCATAACCATAGCCATCTGCCCATTCCACCTGGGAGTTGTTGATCACTGCTACAGATATACCTAAAATATACATGTAAATTGCAGAGACAGGAGACTAGTCAGTCGAGGCTAGTAAAGTGAGGGTCGATCAAAAAGCCAAGCTTCATGCCATCGTTTATCTAATAGGGGGATTATTTCGGTGATGAATGTTACACCCCCCGAATGGTACCAGGCAAAATGATGTACAGCCACATTTTATGTACATCTTTCTAACTTTATTAGACATTTCTTGATATGATTAACTGGCACACTGTTGATTGATATTTCAGCTGATCTGTAAATATTTATATATGTGACGAGATCTAATGAGGGCATTTGATTGATTTTCAGGTGAATTTGTGGCTACCATGATGGCTCGTTATAGTCCTTATATATCTGTCAATGCAATCATATGTTTACCTGGAACAAACCATTTCTCCATGCGCTCTGCCAGTGTGGCTTTCTCGTTCTCGCGTTCTGTCCCAACAAAGTGCTCAAATGGCACTAATTCCTGCTCCACGCGTTCTTTTAATGTACGTGGCCGATGCGTTGTTGATGAGGGTTCAATCGTAGCCGGGGCTGACAAAATACTATGTTTTAAGACTCTGATCAAACATATAATATAATGTATGTACGAGAAGATAATGTACTCCAGATTTTTAAAGAGGAAGATGATTTTAATATGATTTTAAAGGCAATTTATTTTATGTATAAAATACGCAACCTGTTGATGTAAATATGTTTTAAAAAATATTGAAAATTGTAATGTGCTCACATAGAAATAATGTGGTAATAAAGGATACAATACAATATCTATCCTAATGTTTTAAAATTCGATCCCAAATTCATATAGTTAAGGTCCAAGCAAATTATTTTGAATCTTTTAATGGTGTCCTATAGGAAAATTGATTCAGGGGTTCACATCAAGATATCTCCAGATATCTCCACATACAAAAACTTACCGATTCTATTAAATGTAACCTTGATTGGATCAATTAAAGGAATGTCTACGTCGATAACGTAGAGCTCTCCTCGGTAACCCCCGTCCCCACCAGGTGTGAATGTTATCTCCCCTAGCTTATCAGTGATATCTTGGAATATGCTCATCACTGGACAATAGCTGGAAATGTGTATAGGCTATTTGTGAGTCCTAAGATAAATATACGATGGAAGTAAAATACATATCTTTAATTTTAGACTGTTCGTTTTTGACTCAACTATGCAACATAGAATATATAGAGAAAGAACACGTCGAGTAAATAAGTTTTTAAAATCAAATGCATAGATGAAGTCTGTTTCTAAATACAAAACATGACATACATATTATCCTTGTTGGCGCATGGGTAAAAGTCAACCCTACAAAGTTCTTGGTTGGCTTGAAAAGAGGATGCAGAGACGTATATTGTAGAAAAGGGAAGTTCTAGATCATCTATGATAATATCCACTGGGTCGACCTCGTAGGTACCCTCCCATGGTTGCGGACTGCTTAAGGGTAGCTTTGTTTGCAACCTGAATGTACAAAAGTCATACCATCATTTTAAAACATGTTCTCGGATATCACTTTTCACGGAACATAATGATTTGTGGAATATAAAAACAATCCTCCATAAAGGTGCTAACCACAAATAGTTTCAATATAAAACCACTTAGACTGCGAGTGGTAACACCCCAGTCACATTGTCCTATGGCGACCGTACGTCGACCGCAGATCAATTGAAGAGTTTCTAAATAGCTTTGAAATCTCGCAAATTCTCGTTTCTATGGGATTTTAAGAGATTTGCACTTTTTACCTCTAATGATTTACTTTTTTATTTTCAATAGCATATTTGAATTCAGTGAAAAGTTTTCTCCAATAATAGCTTTGATTCACACAGTTATGTCATTTAAATCATTTTCCGTGTCATTTAAAAAAAACTTGGGTCAAATCTCAATTGATACATTGCTAAAAATTATAAAACCTTGGTTTATTCGTATGTCACCTCATGCTTAGGATGGAGGTCTCTAGGGGTCAGAAGGGAAGAAAAGAAATAATTATTTACAGGGTGTTCCAAAAGTAAGAGAACTGGAGCTGCTATTTTGTTAAATATGCATCAATTATCTTCAAAACTTCACATACTGTACTTTCATGTATTGTTATTAAAACTGCAAATAATTCCGAGTTATAATTTCTAAGGCTACCCTGCGGCCTGTAAAAACTGGATACGCCATACGGAGACCGCTCCTACGCTCGCCGCAGAATTTCACTGATTTAATTGCGGTCTCCGTACGGCGTATCCATTATGTCCTAACAATATAAATAACATTTAACCTATAAATTGTACTGATTAAAACGAAATAGAAATATACATTAATGTTTATTATCAACATAAATTCAAAGTTCGCCGGGCGGCTGCCGTAGGAAATGTGACTGCAAAAGTTTCCAACCGCAGAAATTCCACGGTGAGAGTAGAAATATTACTGACCGTAAAAATGATAGACCGCACGGTCGCCGTCGGAAATGTGAATGGGATGTAAGCCTACATGTAATTTGATATCATTGAACCAGATTGAACGCAAATGTGGTTTCAGATTATCATTTTCCTGTAAAATACGGTTACCATTATCGACTCCATAAAATTGATATGTGCATTGATTCAGGCTAATGACATTCCCGCAATTCACTACCCCCATACTGTAGCCTGTATTTTTTAAAAGGGATACAGGGTACAGTGAAGCTGCAAATGGAGCGGGTATTCTCTATTTTTGTCTATAGGCTTAAGGCTTTTCTGGTAATAATACAATGCAAACTGCTCAATGAATCTCTGCAATGTATGGTATCTAGAACACTTGGAATATGCAAAATCTAGTAAACCTTCAGAAATAGGGAAATAACAAACGTCTTTTTTCAACTTCACTGTAGCCTGTATCCATTTTAAAGAAATACGGGCCACAGTATGGGGGTGGTGTAGTGTGAGTGCTCATTTGTCAAAAAATTGTTGAAGAACGAACGAATAAGGAAAAGTAGACGCACAAGTTGTCGATTTTCCAAAAATGCTAAGCAAACAAAGTTGTAAAGTCATGATGTTTTATTAAGATAACTAGGCCAAAATTTCTTTGACAACATATTACACGTAATGTATCGGATTTTCGTTTAATCACCATCTATTACCTCGTGTTAAATTCCACATTTGCTTCTGCTGCATCATCCCAACCATAGACGCCTGCCACGGAACGAAACAACTCCCCCAAGAGAAAGTGTCCCCGACTACACCCTAGATTAGACATCATCACTAGACCTCTACCGTCTGTGTTCCCAATGATCTCGCTACAATAACCCTCACTGTAGCCAGTATTGTAGAACCATTTACTAGACTCCCGCCCATTCCCTACCTCTGTTCCCAGACCAAACCGTGCGCCCTCTACTGACGGTAATTGTAATGTAAGCATATTTGTCGTAGATTCAGCATCTGTGAAGCATGGGAATTGAACGAACATTATTGGAAGCCAATACAGGTCATGCCTATTTTATTGTTGTAGCATTGTTTATGTCACCACCAAGTGGTGACATATTGGGGTGCTCTCCGTTTTTTTTTGTGGCGGTGGTTGGTGGTTGGCGTCTGTCAAATTCTTATAACTTCCAATAACTTAACAAATACTGTTTAGACTGACTTAAATTTTTTTCCAAATTAACTACAAGTTTTCAAAGTTCAAATCTGACTTTACATTAAAAATTTGACCTTCAATGACCTTTTCAAGGTCAACCAGGTTTAAAAGGTCAAAAGGCCTATTTTCAACTTCCTTCAAATTGACCAAATTTTTTTCAAAATCATCTACAAGTTATAAGTAGTTCAAATCTGAATTTAGATTGAACTAATAATATTGTTAGCAACTAGGCGGTAACCTTTTGACATGCCTTGTATTTCTATGCATTTGAGCACTTCAATACACCTTTAGAAGCTTAAATGATCATGATGTTACACTTACTTAATAAATGCATTTGATAATGATATTTGATATAATGCATTTGAGCACTTGAATACACATTTAGAAGCTGAAATGTTCATGATGTTACACTTACTTAATATTGAATTCGGGTCTCCACTCTGACCCTTAGCAATATTAATGACAAGTTTAGCCAAATCAGCTACATTTGACCATAAACCTTGGGCAGCTGATTCTGGGAAACGGTTCCAGTTACCTATGGAAAAATCAATGTAATAATAGAATGAAAGACCACGAGTGATATATTTAATATCTTGCAGACGTTAAATCAAGACATTAGGGAGTTTAAGCTTACAATGAATGTTTTCACAACCTAAACACGAGCGGAAAACATTTAAGCGATGCATTTGTATGGGCGATTGGTCATACGTATAGGTTGGCATTTCGATTTTCATGCCAGCTTAAACTCCCTATGTACCAGTTGAAGGCAACCATTTTTAATAAAATATACCAATTATACCAAAACAGGAATCATATTTATGGCTTTACAAAAAAATGTGCATTGGAGTGATATATAAATTAAAAGTTCACTTTTTTACAAACAAACTAAAAACTGAACGTGAAAACAGCTGAACAAAATTAAAAACCAATGATTACTTAGATTGAAAATCCTACACTCAATGCATGCTAATAGATGTCTATTGATAAGACTATGTTTGTAGTGAATACCTGGCACAGATGTTTCCTTAGAACTGTTGCAACGATGGCCAAATGCTACCCCATTTGTGTCACTGTAGTCCCTTAGTGCAAAACTACTAGATGACATATTTACCAGGACCTAAAACAAAAATCAAAAACTACCGCCATCTATATCTAGATTTAATCATTCAAAAAACATTTAATCATGTAAATGTAGTGTCAGCGATACATTCTAATTTCTGATCCAAAACAACCATTTCCTTAATTTTGGGGGTTCTTGACTGACTGTACTAACAAATTCTTACCATATCCTGTGCAATTGTACTATATGGTAGTCCTGTAACATCTTCCAGTAGTTGCTGTAATGCAGCGAATCCCCCAGAAGAATAATCTTCCTGTTCACCAGGAGTTAGAGGGCCGTTTCCTACCAGATCGAGGAGGTCTTCTATCAGTTCCACCTAGAATTTTTAGTTTCCCACTGCAGTGAGGACATTTGTTTCTACTTACTCTACTTAAAGTCATGCTTTCTTTTAGTCGAAGCTTTAACAATCGAAGACCAAGGCTTGAATAATGGAATAAAAATAACAAATCTTCACAGTCAAAAGCTGTTCGCTTATTCAGAATTATAACCTAAACTTTGCGTTCTTAGTTTGGGAAAATAAGATTCTAACTCAACCTTCACGTTGTTAGCTGGCGCTTCGCCGTTCAGAGTTTGAAGAAGGGTTGGAATGGGAGCGCCTTGGGCATAACCTTCGAACTCTTCCACTTCAACTGCTCCACTGTGACTTAACAGATGTTTCAGTTTTACGCGATCGTCTTGCCTTCCTTTGTACCCAATCTGAAAACAGGTAATGTTATTTTGAGCTTTGAATTCAACATTTGATGATATAAAAAGTGTTATACATTATATGTTGACCCCTTATTGCTATCAGATGCAGATTTAAGTTTACTTGTGAAATAATACACAGCATATCAGAATAAGTAAACGTTCGTCTTGATCTTCTTTATACCCAATCTGAGAACACATTTTTGGTGTTTTTACTTTTAATCCAGGAACAATGTTGTACACGAAACGATGTACATATTTAGAGGTTATGTCACTATCGTTGCATATATACCCGAGGGTTTCAGTGATATTGGGCCGGCCTTGGGAGGGACACTGATCACTGAGAACCGAGGGCATATGTGCAACTATAGTGACATAAACGATTTATAACATACCTATGATGATCTAGTCTGGTCAGAGTATCGTTTTCTTATCTAATTGACTAGCAATGGTTCGGAAATGATGATTTTTCCCATGTTTGTATGTATGTATGTAGGCCTAATGTATGACGTAGTCCCAGCGCTTGACCAATCAGAAAGTTAGCGGGCGCGGGCTTTTCAAAAGTTATATTGGCGTATTGTCTTGTGAATAGTTTACACTATACATCATCATAGGTATGTTATAATCATGATTATCAAATGGCAGCAATAGTATACAGTAGTACTGTATGCCAAACAGCATTGTCTTTTTCGATTGGTGATTCCCTGCTTTAAAGCAGATACGTGTACTCGATTTATGGAATCTATCTTTTTATTTTAAGAAAAGTATATTTTATATGAAATGATGACGTAGTAAAATCCGAACCTTCCACGATGTCAGGTAATCATTTATGTTGTTCTCAAGATCCAAGGCCCCATTCTCTACGTACTTCAACGTAGCTAGTGACGTCAGCAAGCTGCTCAGAGTTCCTGCCTGGTATACAGTGTCCGCGGTAGAAGGTACCCCTTGTGAAGAAAACAAAAGAATAAAACTTTGTGAAACTATCATCGGTCCGTGGGACTCCGTGGGATTTTGCCCCATCTTGCCCCATCGAGCCCCGCGAGGTCCCATGAGGTCCCATGAAGTCCCACGTGGGACTCGGTGGGACTCGATGGGGCAAGATGGGGCAAAATCCCACGAAGTCCCATCGAGAATGAACATGTTCATTCTTTCCATGGGGCATCGTGAGATTTTTGATCATATGAAGCCCGACATACACCAATGGGGCACGGTGGGATTTGATGGGACTCCATGGGGCTTGATAGGATACCATGGGGCACGATGGGGCAAATTCATCAAGGTCCCATGGGACTTCGTGGGATTCGATGGGGCAAATTGGGATTCGATGGGGCAAGATGGGACTCGATGGGGCAAGTTGGATTTTGCCCCATTGGTGTATACCGGGCTTATAGGTGCGCTTTTGAAAGAATACAAAGGAATACAAATTCGTTTGCACACTAGCAGGTGCACCTTAGGAAGAATGCAAAGCAATATAAGTTCGTTTCCACAGTAGCACATACACCACAGAAAGAATAATAAAAAGCAATAGAATTATTTTTCACAGTAGCAGGTACGCACATGTATAAAGTGGTGGTACATAAAATGAAACAGGATTTCTATTGAGTGCCACAAGAAGTGATCATGAAAATGGGTAAGAGTAGCTCTTACTTTTAGAAGTTAGTTGCTTTATTTTCTATAATAAAACTTGAAAAATTCAAAATATTCGGTATTCCCCTAAATGCCTAACGGATTTAAAAGGATCAATTTGACGAAATGCAACATTTTGATTGGTTAACTCCTTCCAAGCATCCGCGAACAATGCACCGTGACAGCCAATACAATATTTGCAAGATGGATGTGTTATGTAAATGTTGCCGTGAATCTGAATAGCAGGCCTTTATGTTTAAGATTCGGGTTATAAACAAGAAAAAGTAAAAACTAAAAAATGCACTTAGAAAGGAACATATAGTGACAGTAGATAAGCTTTTAAAGCTTGACATTTACTACCTATAATTAGTACCTATGTCAAGCGATGTCATTTATTAAAATATGTATATGATAGTAACGGAGACCTTGTACAGTTAATAAATCAAGGCAATGGCATTGTAATCCAAAACTTTATTTATAGATGATGATGTTATTTAGTGCAGCACTTACCGTCTTGGGCATAACCGTAGCCATCTGCCCATTCCACCTGGTAGTCGTTGATAACTGCTACTGATATACCTAAAATATGAAGTATGAATATTAAAGTCAGTCGGGACTGGGACATTGACGGCTAGAGGGGCAAGTTATTATCAACATTGGGGTTATCATTTCTATTACGCCTCGACAGAATTACGGAATTGCTCCCATCAAACCACGATGGTTCATGATTTTCATCTAATTTCGATTTCAAACCTGATTTGGATTTCTCGGCCCGAATTAAGGTTTAAGAAATCATTAGTAGTCGTTTCAGCAATATATCTAGACTTTTCTTAACTATATAAGACCTGCCAATAAAAAAGCATGCTTACCTGGAACAAACCATTTCTCCATGCGCTCTGCCAGTGTGGCTTTCTCGTTCTCGCGTTCTGTCCCAACAAAGTGCTCAAATGGCACCAGTTCCTGCTCCACGCGTTCTTTTGAAGTTTGACCTTGGAACACAAAATGGGAAAAATGCTGGGAAAAGTAAAAACGCAAGTTGCATTTTAAGTTTGGAATCTAGTATATTCGTCTAAATAAATCGTTAGAAATACAGGATGTAACAAAATGCTTATTTTGCCTGTACACAAAATCACTCATCATTGAAATTATGAAGTATTGAAAAACTCCCGGATCCTACTTCAGAATGCTTTGAACAACTGTATATACTCCCACCAAATTTCTTAATCTAACCTCAATATGGCATTGTTCATTAAGATGATTTTTTCTGATTTTTGAAAAAAGAATAGAATATTTGTTTTATTATTCATTCTCAATAATGAAATAACCATTCTTTTTTCAAAAATCAGAAAAATTATTTTAATGTACAATGCCATATTGAGGTTAGATCAAGAGATCTGAGGTAGGAGCATTTTCATTATTTATAGTAACCTGTCGCTGCATGGAACAAGCAGACCGTGAAGATTAAAGATGTCGTCACCATGGTAGCAGCATATGTCAATCCGAATAATCCAAACGGCTGAAAGAAAATTATCAGAAGTGTGTATGGCTATGATTTTGGTCGATGATTATAGATAGTGTGAATATTTCGGAACCTCTTATTTTCCTAAATGTTTCCATCATTCACATTTGATATCAAATGATATTTCCCGGCTGTGGGTTCATTCAGTGTAGTTTTAATTGTATATAATCCAAGGTGTGAGTTCTATCCATTTAATATACAGTACATTGTTATTTTTAATTAGATATAAATAGTTTGTTATTCCATTATTGAGAGTGAGGGATACTAACAGTGAATAATAAAACAAATATTTAATTCTATTCTCTGTGAATACCTGTGCATCTTTCACAAACAATATTCCCGAAGCCTAGATATTATCGTATGATCTGTAAAATGTAACTCTCTGATTGGTCAGTTCTTGTGCTGTACCAATCTGTATTGCTACTGAGATTTTCCCCGTTGATCAGCTCCGTCGCAATACAGAAAATATTGGTACGGAGGGGACAATCTCAGTAGCAATACAGAGGATCACACGATAAAAACATTATTGAATGATTTGAAGTGCAATACAGGATATATTCTGTCTCGATGTATTGGCACTCGACTTCGTCTCTGTCCAATACAGAATTTCTCGAGCAGAACATATATCATGTATTGCACTTCAAATCATTCAATAACTTATATTATTATATCACTATCTAGCTAGCGACAGTATGATTGGTCAAAACCGGGTCACATGTCGTGGGATATCTGGCGATATTCAATGGCAATGCTAATCAGATAAGACAACCGTGAGATATCTAGCGATATCCCACGCTCCCGGGAATTTTCAAAGAATTTGTTTTCGTTCAGTGTAAATAATTTAGTTCAGTGTAAGTCAAAATGGCAGACGAATCGAGTAGATTCAATGTATTTCAATGTTAACCTATGACTTAATAATGTTAGGTATGTTTAGCTAGACAGTGATATAATAAAACAAATATTTCACTCTATTTTCGGTGAATACCTGTAGCACTTTCAAAAGGTGATATTCCACTTGCCCTTCGGGCTTCGTGGAATATCACTTGTGAAAGATGTACAGGTATTCACCTCATTAGAGTGAAATATTTGTTCAATATTGCTCAACTTTGGAAACGTTTGAGTACAGGATGACAGGTAGAGTAATATTACATATTTAAACTGTAAGAATTCACAAAAGTTTACTATTTTTTATGAAATTGTATAACATATTATTTTGCGTTTAATTGGTTACAATAGTTATCTCTCGGGTGGTATGTAATGTTGATCACGATTTTAGTTTATGCAGCATCGATTCATGATTTTTTTAAGTACCAGATACTTTTGAATTTTTTCTTATCAAGAGGATAACAAAAGGTGTATCATAATTATCACGGGCTAGTATCGAAATATTTGTCCGCTGTGACGGAGCATGCTACTTTTCATAAGAACACTAAGAATACTTCACGATTTATTTTTTAACTCATATGTTTCGTTACACCATAGAAAATTACTTACTCCATGCAATGGATATATCATTTGCGGGTAACTTTCACTTCTGTTTGAAGTTCAATTACGCTGAAGAAAAGCTATTGAAAATGGCGCCGGAGTATCATACTTCAAAATGTACCATTTCTTGTTTAACTTTCTATTGGCACGATATAGTGACACGATAATATTTACACATGGTTTCAGCATAACTAAGAGGGTATAGATGAGATGTTGATGTATTTGGTCTTTTTAATTCTTTTATAAAAAATAATCTTTAATTTTTCTGTCCGCTGTGACGGAGCAGTTTCAAATGTGAACTGTGAAAATGCTCCGTCACAGCGGACAAAAAATATTAATATTATTTTTTATAAAAAAATTAAAAATACCCAATGCATTAATATCTCATTAATACATTCAGAGTTATGCTGAAAACATATGTTAATATTATCGTGTCACAATATCATGCCATTAAATAGTTAAAAAAGAAATGGTACATTTTAGAGTTTGATACTCTGGCGCCGTTTTCAATAGCTTTTACTCCTAGCGTTATTGGACTTCAAACAGAAGTGACGGTTACCCGCAAATGATACATCCATTGCATGGAGTAAGTAATTTTATTTGATATAACGAAACATATGAGTTAAAAAATAAATCGTGAAGCATTCTCAGTGTTTTTATGAAAAATAGCATGCTCCGTCACAGCGGACAAATCTTTCGATACCAGCCTGTGATTATAGAACTCAATGGACAAAAAATATATTCAAATATCCTGTTTTGAGAACTTACGTTAATTTGAAAATTATCAAATATCCGAAAAAAAATCACAGACAAGCAGGTTTAGGCTTAGTTCAAACAAATTACACATAATTTGCTAGTCATTCCAAACCAAAGCCGAAACCATTGGATAAACGTTTATGCAATATGTATGGTTGCTTGGAAGAACAGATTTGTTTGACACCCTTAGACAATTTAATTTTGTCCCGACTTTATATACAGAAGGCTAGTGTCTCATAAAAGTTCTTATGTAATTCTACATCTAGCAAAGTTCATTTACCATTCATTCTTTGGATTATTATTTGCCTATGCTAAATCAGGCTACAATTATTTTTATGTTTTTACATTTTGTCGTGCTGCATTTGTATTCTACAACTACCAAGTATTTTTGTATTTTGGAGTTAGCTTAGTCTATTTACAGTTCGGTTCTGTGCGAATGAATAAAATGGTGAAACTCTAAGCATACAAATGAATTTAAAATGCTTAAAATCTTAGGTTCAGGCCGTTAATATAACAACGCGTTTAAAATAAAAACTTAAACACCCAAATACTTTTAAGTACATCACGGCGTAACATTGTTATTGTTCAAGTTACTTTGTAGTTAGTTTAGTCTAATTTCAGTTTGATATAGATTATTCCTAAATAACATGAACCAACAAATCACAAAACAAAAAATAAAGAATTATAATAAAATAAACTGTAACATTCCACTTGTCATGAATACTTCACTAAATGTCAAGAATTTATCAAATCACTTTACTCTATATACTGTACTTTGTCAAATAAAAACGATCTAAAACAGACAACGAGTTCAAAAGTCAAAATGCATATGATATCAATGTAAGAACTAATACTTGTCGAAACCTCAAATACAAATATTGCCATTGCTACAAAGAAGACACAAAGCAGATACAAAAAGAAAATTCTGGAGACAATAACTTAATTTATCCGATGGATACTAAATATATATGGGGATAACAACACAAGATAAGTATGCGCCACTAAAATCGTATCCGATCCATATGACGTGATATTCAATCGTATCCGACGGAGACTATTTAAAAAATATTTTGAAAAAAAAATCAATTCAGAAAAAATTTTGAAAAAAATTGTAAAATAAAAATTGAAAATAATGGAAAAAAATAACCACTTGTCTGTTTGACAATAAAGTTCCAAGTTATGTGCTCAGTAAAAATGAGTTACATTTTTTCATGCAATCATTTTATAAAAATAAGGTCACAGAAAATAAAATGAAAAATAGAAAAGAATTAGAAAACAACAACTTTTAGGTCTAATTATTTGAAGTCCATATAAAAATAGCGACCATCGGATAAATATGATATTCGGATATATGATTTTCTCGGCTATCATTTTTATCCACTCTTGGATATGCGCTCATTCGTGGAGATGAGCGATATCCACTCATGGATAAAAATGATATCCCTGAAAAATCATAGGATATCCTCTATATATATTACAATCTGTATAAAGGAGATACAAAGCATATACAAAAAAGGAGATTCTTGAAATAATAACCCACATCAAATATTCATATTACAATCTGTATAAAGGAGATACAAAACATATACAAAAAGGGGATTTGAAAACAATTAAAAATCATTACCTTATATTTTTCTCGTGTCCCTTGTTCACCTCTGTCTGATCCCAATTGTATCAAAGGAAGTACGTCAAGATTTGATTTAGTAGTGTGCTAAAGTACAGTTTTTTAAAATATGATTGTTCAAATATAATCATACGATGTTAAGCAGGAGGACAATATTTTCATATCACACTAAATTGTCAATATCCTTAATCAATGGACGTGTCATATTTATGATATGGTATAAAATCAACTTTATACTTAATAATGTAACCCTTGACAGTCTTTATCAACTGTCACACTGATAAATGTGTTTTGGAGCCGTCTTATGAAGTTCGGTATAGTTTTGACAATCCATAGAGTACTATTTTTGAAACCATATTTTTTTTACATATTCCGTTTTTCGCTTTACTGCAAAATTGTCAATTTTTATCAAGTGTCACAGTGAACTATGTGTTTTGGAGCAGTTTTATGAAGTTAGTTGAAACCATATTTTTTTTACATATTCCGTTTTTTCACTTAACTGCAAAATTGTCAATTGTTGACTTTGCTTTCATGTACAAATACAATAACTCCAAAAGCATTGAATTTTAATGTATTACGATTGACCTATAATAAAGCACTTGGAACTTACGTCAGTCAATTTAACATTATACAGGAACAATAAGTACATTATTAAGGTAAATTAGTACATGCTGACTTCTGAAAGTTATGCGATATATTTTTCTCTTTAAGGGGGGGGGGGTGTATAGGGGGTCTTGGAAATTCATATACAATATTTTTCAACTCTCTTATACCATATACAATATTTTTTCACCGCTTTTATACCATATACAATATTTTTCACAACTCTTATACCCTATACGATATTTTACAAATGTTCAGGTGAAATACAATATACGATAATTTTGAAACTGCTGTTGGATATTTATTAGGAAATAATATTAGGAGAGAATACATGTACAACAGTAAATGTATTATTATAAGGCAAATAGAGTAATAGACTGCACATACAGACAACAATGATTTCATTTATTACATTATGAATAAGATACCATTTGGGTACATCTGTGCAGGAGCCTAGCCAGCTTTCAGTCGGGGGGGGGGGGGTGCAAATGGCAAGAATATAAGAATAAACAAGCCAAAAATAAGGTTTATTTTGAATTTGACAAAAATTGATGCAACTTCCTTCAAAATTGAGCAAGAAGTTCAAATAAAAAGCATTTTAAAGTTCTTTTCTTCTTCTTTTTCATGGTTTTATTTTTATTGGTAATGGGGGGTGCACCCATCACAACCCCCTGCCTATGACTATGTCCGTGACCACATTTGAAACAGAGACACTTCAGGGTTTCAGATAAGAGAGCCTTAAGACAGTCTAAGTCAAACAAAAGTGTGCCAAAATTAAGTAAATTTTCATAATGGTCAAGTAACTTTCTTTTAAAGGACCATGGATGGTATTTCAGATTTCAGATAATCGTATGTTCGATTTTGGCTATTTTCTAATGATTTGAACAGTTGCATATGTTAGGCCAATGCATTAACTCCAGGACAAGCAGTAATAGAGATGATAAAATAATTTGGACTTTGAGACAGGGAAGGAGCAAAGACCCCACCAACATGTTTTTCTGTAATGTTGTCCTGGTTTCCAGCCCTTTCCTCACCAGTTTTTTTCAATGTTAGCGTTTTGAGACACGTAAACATCTTTAAAAGTAAATTATGATTCATGCAGGGGTTTTAAAGATATCAATTTTGGGTGACCAAAATTAAGCTGAAAACAATGGATAACATGAGTTTTCCCCATGGAAAAATAACACTGGAAATATTGTTTTCCACTTTATCCCAAATGAATCATATTTTCCTTTAAAGAGGTTAACTGTATTTAAAAATGCAACATATTGGACGCATCAACCATTGAAATAAACATGAGTGGAAAGGGCTGAGAAATCAGGTCAACATTTCAGAAAAACGTTTGTGGGGTGTTTGCACCTTCCCTGTCTCAAAGTCTGAATTATTTTATCACCTCTATGAATGCTTGCTCCGGAGTTAATGCATTGGTCTAACATATGTACCTGTTCAAATCCCCGATAAATAGCCGAAATCCAACATATGACAGTCTGGAATCTGTTGCGATACCTTCAGTGGTCCTTTCTCTGATTATTATTCAGACCAAATAAATACCTTTTACTATATAAGCATATCTAGTGATGCTTTTATAAGCACATACACTGTATCATCACTTTATACTCAAATATTTTAATAATTTACCCACATACCCCGAAACAAGTAGCCATAATGACCATATTTTTCATCAAAGTTGAGAAAACTCAATGACATTTGGCATTCTTATTCGAGACTGTGTTTAACACCTCCTTTTGAAAATTTGAATGAAAAGGGCACAAAACTCTTAGTGGTGATTTTCTCAACATTTATGGATCGGTCTGGAATCCTGGACGAGAGACTTCTTTTCCATGTTTTTCTAACACAGTTACAGAATCAGCACAATGGGGAATTTCTAGGATACAATTCCTTCATAATAGTCTTCTTAAATTATTTTTTAAAAATATTTAACCTATCAGTGCCTTGAGATACCATATACCATATCTTTTCTCTTATACCATATACCATATTTTTTACACCTCTTATACCATATACAATAAATTTTGCCCCCTCTTATACAATATACAATAAATTTTCACCCTCTTATACGATATACAATATCTCTATACACCCCCCCCTTTAAGAGAAAATAATATTTATATCAGGCATGTTACATTCATGTTAAAGGAGGACCACATTTGAATAGTTAAACGTTTATTTCTACAAAGAAAATAGCCAATTGGAAGCCAAACAAATACAACACTAAGTTATGAATTTCGCATATGACGTCAACATCAGATTCATGGCAGCAAGGTCAATGTCACTAAAAGGTCAAATATGATTTAAGGTCAATGTCACTAAAAGGTCAAATATGAGTTTCAGTATATCATATTTTAACAATTGCGAGCCTTGAAAAACAAAAAATGCCATTTTAAAATATTATTATTTGTTTATTTAGTACTGTCTTTGATATGGAATATGGCACTCGAATCGACAGTTGTCGGTTACACAGGCGTAGTGTTACATGATTTAATATCCCATTTGTGTTGAAGAAAGGTTTCCGTCTCTGGGAGATTAACTGAAACAAAGTATTAATAACATAAAAATGTCATTTCTAAGTAAGTTCAAAATTTCGACCGCAGACCTTCGAAGGCCGGGAAAGATGGGTATAACAATTACTATGTCACTATTTTTTGATGGTGGCGTAAAATAAATGTTTCTGTTTCTATATGTGATACAACGTATTTCGTCACGGATACAATGTATTGTATTCCTACTTCCGTTTTCACATTGGCCACTTTGTACCATATTCGAGCAATAGGAGTACGAAGGTTGATTTTAATTTTCTGCACCGCCTACCGTAAACTTTTTAATAATTTAATATTGTTGATATTTGGCCTCAGCCACCCTCTATTCATCAAGGGTACAAGAAAATTTCTGATTATTTTCTCTCATCAACAATTTACATTACATTTCAACTTTGTGGAGTTTCCATACAATATGTTATCAAATCACAGACTTACATATTAAGTCAGTACTACATACATATGCAGTCGAGGTGTATCATGGGTACTACCGTGTGGATGATACCCGACGTAACCTCCGTCTGTAAGGGCCATCCTCCGTTGACAAACGCTTTGTCCATGTGCGCACTCGAATCCCATAAAATGAAGATCCACATCTTTGGAAAAATAATTGGAGCATTCAAGAGGAACATCGAGGTAGCACATTATTTACTGATACTTTACTAATGAATTACATAGACAGTACATATTGACAAATTGCATTCATTTTTAGTATGCCTGGCAAAAAAACTTCAGGATTGGGCCAGTATGGGGCAATGTATGACTTTCACTAGGTGGGGACAAAAATGTTCAATTTCCACTTTTCAACACTATTGACATTATACTACAACGGCAATCTATGGATGATAAAGAAAGCACTTGACATTACAACAGTGCACCATCTATGGATGATAAAGTGAGAATTTGACATTACAACAGTGCACCATCTATGGATGATAAAGGGAGAACTTGACGTTACAACAGTGCACCACCTATGGATGATAAAGGGAGAACTTGACGTTACAACAGTGCACCACCTATGGATGATAAAGGGAGAACTTGACGTTACAACAGTGCACCACCTATGGATGATAAAGGGAGAACTTGACGTTACAACAGTGCACCACCTATGGATGATAAAGGGAGAACTTGAAATTACAACATTGCGCCATCTATGGATGATAAAGGGAGAACTTGACATTACAACATTGCGCCATCTATGAATGATAAAGGGAAAACATCCTTCGGAGAGGATTCGACGTACGCTGACGCCCAGTGTACAAACTACTAAGCAGCAATATTGGTCACAAAGATCTTAATTTTACGTACCGCTTCACGCCCCACTACATGAAAGATCTCTCCATTAAACCCTGATGTAGTCTTAAGAATGATGGATTTCCGAGTATGTTCCGTCCAAGCTGCTATTATCGTCTCTTGCGACTTTCCTGGAAAAAACGATTAAGAAGTCATATCTGATGAGTGTTACGCGGTATATGGCATACATTCATGGTTGTGCGGTATTTGTGATACGGGTGAATATGCCATACTCACCTGCGGTATATGGCATATTCCGCAGGTGAGTATGCGATATTCCGCAGTGAGTATGCGATACATTGATTTCAGTGAATACCCGATACTCACCTGCAGAATATGTCATACTCACTTGCGGAATATGCCATATACCGCAGGTGAATATGACATATACCGCAGGTGAAAACATGATACAGAAAGTCTTGATTTGATTGGTTGCGAGAATCGACTCTAAATGTAAAACTACGCTGTATTACCATTATAGTTAGTGCGTCGAGTACTAATATATGAATCCTGGATTGATTGAGTAAGTTTATTACGCGAGATTGGTGACTGAAACTTCTGCTAAGTTAATATATTCGATACACAGTACTGTTGATTCAGTAATCATTACAATAATTAATAACGTTTTACTATTTCGTTCAATCGATGTAATTGACAATTGCGTACTTCCGTATCACGTTCTCATTGGTTAGGTTGTATGCCATATACCGCAGGTGAATCTGTCATACACCGCAAGTGAATATGCCATATTCGTTGCGGAATATGACATATTTTTGTATCCTGTTTACCGCGTAACAATGAGTACATGTTTCTGATCTTTCGCTTGTATTCATTAAGATTAATTACAATTGTTCTTAATGTCATCATTACAGTTTCAGGGCAAATATGTGTCCTCAATGTTTACACCCATGGACGTACAGTAGCCATGTGGAGGGTAGGGGGGGGGGTTGATATGTGAAATACTGGCCACGCCCCTGACATCTATGTCAGTACTAAAATTTGATTGTGAGAGAGATGTGGGAGATGCGATCGATTTGGGGGCAAACTGATGGGATGTCAAATTAACATTAATAGACCAAACAGTTTTGGAGGCATGTGTATAAGCATAGACGTCTCAACACGTCAATACTAGGTAAAAAATCTGTCGATGATTTACAATCGAATTCGTAAACATATTCTATTCTTTAGGATTCAACTAAAACTTGTACATACATGTGTGCAGCTTAAACCTAAAAACGATATTTGCCAAACGATCTAGGGGAAGCCGTCGTATAGAGGTGATGGGTTCAAATCGCGCGAGCTCCTTGTGTTATTTGATTTGCTATTTGTAATTACTACCAACAATTGTGATTTACCAGGTGGATACTTCAGCTCACGAAATACTGCTAACAGTGTTTCGCACTTGAGTGTTGCACGTGGCATGATAGCATCTATCTGAGTTTGATTCAATTCAATCCCTAGGGTGAGCATAGCAAAGTCATAGTCGTCCATTATTGCTGTGACACCGCATTTGAATTTCGAATCCTTTTTGGCCATTGCTCTTTCAAGTGCTATTACACTTTCACACCCAAATACAACGTATAGCCGGTCAGCGCCAACCTCCTGTAAGACAAATATGCATATTATATAATAGACCATCTCAATAAAACTTGCCACCTTTTGGCGCATCAAAGAAGCTAGATTGATGATGTCATTGGTTATATTTTTTCAAGGGTTTATTGGAAAGGTCGTCTTAATCTATTGTTTTACTCAATAATATGTTGAGTTTTTTTAATGAAAATGTTACTGGTTTATATTGCTTAATTACTTTTAAAGGATAATACATGGTACATCCTTCCATATCATCCAATTGTTTGGTAAACGTTTTCAGGTACTGATAACCACATTCCGCTGGATAGGTACAGTCAAGCAATGCATTGAAAACTTCATAACGACCAAGTCCAGTCTTGACGGGTGTTTTCGTGGGCGGTTTATACACACATTCGTTTTTCTGCTTACCTACAATATGAACAACCACACGGATTATCTAGTCTAACTTCAAGCCCTTTTAAGATTCCAACATTAAAGATGGATCTCTTTTCTTTTAATTTTAATCAAAAGACAAATTTTTCAAAACAACTTTTATTTTGAAACCCAGTGAGAACACAACCTGTTAAAAAAACAATCCCAAATATTCCAGCAGACTTTGATCTAACCCATGCACAGTACATGTACACTCCACTCCATAAGTTTGGAAATTGCAAGTGCCCTTTTGGATCATTTATCAAAGCAAGTTAATGTTTGGTGGTTTAACCCTAGGAGCCCTAAGGAAGGGGGGAGGGGGTTAAATTTGAGGAAAGTTTGAACATCCGAGCTTAACTAATAAAGATTTTACAAGTGGGGCTTTTGACCCCCCCCCTTGGGTGTTCGTGTGACTTTTTTACCTTAGGGCTTCTACATGTAGGGTTAAAGGAACTCATCAAACGTGTTCCAAACTTTTGTATTTAAGGAACAAAACTAAATCAAAACGTTGACAGGCTTTTATTTACTATCAAATGTAAACCTCCGGGAGTGTATTTCTATTTATTTCTATTTATTCGATTTTGGCATAAGTGCATCCGCACACAATCATACATGCACGTGTTATTCACACATAGCTAGGAAAGGTGTGTCCTATTCCAGCCAATCAGAACAGAGTATTCACATAATGAACAGTGTGTGAAATATCAATAACACATGCAAGGTCAGTAGTTAAACAGTTGTCATGGTGATGAATGGACTTTTCACATTGGATTTGATGACTTGCCAAATTGACCCTTGAAAAAAATGTTATTGAAAATGTATTCTTTTAGTGATTTCTTTCCTTTTGGTTTGGATGATTTTGTAGAAAAAATTGCAATGTGTGAAAAGAATTTAAGCCCATGACTCAATGCATTGTAGCTGCTTCATTCCACTCAGGCGTTGTTTCCTAAACTTTGCGTTCCCGCTGCACGGTCATGTAAAGGTTTGGAAACAACACCTTCGTGGTATGATTCAGCAAACAATGCACTGAGTCCAGGGCAATGCAAACATACATTTCAACCTTCTCGATCCCAATACTACAGAAATTAAGGTTCCCAGGAGTATGAAATTCATCCATATCAGTATGCTTGCAGACATTTTCTTTGTCGTGTTAAACATCTATCAGACCGAGCTATCAGATAATGCGCTGAAATATCAAAATGCATTATGTAGGTAGTTTCTTATTGTTGTATAAACTACTTCCTCAGCCCAAATCTTCAGATTTACAGAGGAGAAATGATCCTTGGATGAATGGGAAAGATTGGATAATGATACCGAACCGAAAGCACCTTGCTTAAATCAAAACCGTTCGATCACTTCCCTTAAGTTCACCAACCGGTCCAGCGGATTCCATGGGGAAAAGCGGACAAGATCGGACCTTGCCCGGTGAGGTCCGATAAAAAAATTCCGCAAAAAAGCCCGGTTTTGTGCGATGAACATATGATCTCTGACTCGATTTAGGCCTCTTCGTCATTGTTTCGAATGAACCTTATTCTTTCCTCTTGAAGTTTAATGAACTGCTCATCGATCTTAGAATCTTACTTTTTCGTACCTTTCCTTTAAAGTTCAGATAAGTTCATGAACCAGGGTGTTCCCGTGATTGATCATAACATGATAGACTTCCTGCTCTTGGCATCGTTGATGCATCTTGATTTACAAGGATTAATTTAGCTTGCATTCGTGCTCGCCGTGGCAATTTCATGAACACAAAAAAATTCAGCGTGTTCCTGTGATTGATCATGCCATATGATAGATTACCTGCAGTTTGCATCTTCATTCACAAGGTTTCATGATCAGTTGCTAATACTCCCGAGCTACATCTTTACCATGGAAGGTGTCGTTAATAACTCAGATGTGAGTAGATAGTTACCAGGTTCACCACCAGATGGCTAATTCGGGGCAGATAACATGGCAGAGTATTAGAAAGTTCCCTAAACTTGAATATTCATCAGTTTTATTGGTTCGATTTTCTTACTTTATGCTGATAGTTATACAAATTAAAATATGTCTAGTCAAAGAAAATATTATCTGTCCAATACATACATACTGTATATTAAGGTCAAATGTTTTGAAAATCAGCACAAAGTTATCTAAAAGAGATGATTCTCGGAGCAAATTTTGGTGCAGGGGAGATATTTGATGTTGATCGAATATAAGCAAATTGCTGTATACATCCACAAAATGTACATAAAAACCAGAATCTGGTCTGTAATTATAATAAATTTGTATATTATGATGTTATAATTATAAGTTAATAATGTAAAAACTTTATTTAAACACATCAAATATGGTGGATGAAATAAATAAATAAATAAAAAATGAAATAAAAAATAAAATAAAAGATATTTTACTTTTTGTGATTTTATAACATGACGTCTCTGGGAAATCTCCCCAACCTAGAAGTCACATTTAAAAAAAACAATTCCAAAGATGATACACACTATATAAAACCACATTTAAGGATGTAATATTACATGTAGAATTCAAATATGATGTCACTTTGACTGAATTTCGAATGACGTAAATCAAGATTATTTATAGCTTACTTGTCTCTAGTCTATTGACCGGGGCATAGCGACTTTTAAAACAATAAATTGTTGAAATGGTATACTAAATTATATAGTAAGCGGAAACGGCGCTTATTATTGATTACACAAACTTTTTATTATAGCAAACTTCAAATTATTTAACGGGAGGTAAATATGCAGGATAAATGTCCTGTCAACCTCTCGCCGCAGGTTTTTCAAAAGACAGGAGGTTATAGATCTTTAAACAGGATCTTGCAGGAATAAGGCAGTTCCTTGGATATAAGATTATTTTTTCTCTAAAAAGTTATCTTAAGCAACCATTGCATAGGCGTAGCCAGACATAACCAGTAAAATAAGATCATTAGATAGAAGAACAAAAGAGCTTTAAGATGCTTTTTATTTGGAGCTTCTCGCTCAATTTTGAAGGAAGTTGCATCAAGTTTTGTAAAATTCAAATCAAATCTTCAAAAATTGTTTTGGCTTGCTTATGCCACTATCACAACATGCCATGTGTTACAGACGCCGAACACCAACCGCCGCCGCCGTCCACAAAAGAGTTGGAGACTATAAAAATATGTAAGCTTAACCACTTCTAATGGAGACATAAAGTAAAAAGCCTATATGATAAAATATGACATTGGCACATTCCTTTATTGATGAAGTTTTATTATTAACGGAATTTCAGCCCAAAGTATATTGGAAACTGGTTTGAACCACGGGATACAAAAAAGCTCGAAATCGTCAATTTCCAGTTCGCCTTTTCGAAAGACATAGTGCCGGACGTCAGTGTTTCTTAATACCGCCCACTGATATCAGAACTGTGGTGTTAACTCTCTCATAAAATATTTTCTCTTGAAAATGCAGTTCTCAGAGGATCTGATTCTTATTTTTGGTTTTGATTTTTTGAGCCGAAGTCCTCATCCTCAAATAACAGAACTGCCAAAATAAATCATTTGTGGCCATTCCCACATCAGTATAGTTCTTCAGTAGGAGCACGCACATTCAGCTGCGATAAGACATTCACTCTAAATCACAATAGCTTAGCGTATGGAAAGGGAAATATTAAAGGCAGAATCAGATCTATAGGGGGTGACAAAATTACAAGCAACTTGTATAATTGACCTACCAATCTATTCCTTACAATATCAAATACAATATCTCCCAAAAGATTCACAATATGTTATAAATTGGTGAAATTATTAATGAATCAAAGTGCAAAAATGGGTGAAAAATGTTTAAATTCTCCCAAATAATAAGAATGGTAACCATTCTTATAGAAAAATAATACATTATTGTAAAAATCTTTAGTTTTACTTGAATAAAGTATGCACTTATGTGATTTTTAGAAAATAGACATGACAAGGTATGACATGAGCCAAAAATACTCTAAAATTGAAACAATTTTTTGTTTAGCCTGCTCGCCATATCTGATTCTCCGTTTAATTGAAACTGAAAACTAAAGTCGGACATTACATCATTTTTGTTAAACAATTAATTTTGAATTTATACTTTTATAAAATTATCAGATAAATAGTTGCATTCTATTTTGCTTACCTGTTCGTATTCGTTGACTGAATCCCAGTGATCCAAGATTGTTAAAGTATGAAGTTTACGTGCAAACTCAAAATTGCGCGAAATTGAGCAAGCGCAAGAATAAATCATAAATATGCGAAACGAAACATCTTCAAAATTCAATACGACTGGATGTGCCTATAATTGATAATTCAAATAAGACTACAACAGAAAAAACAATGATGTGTTGTTATACGATAAACGTAATACATCCGCTATGAATTTAATTTGAGTTTTATTAATTATATCTGTACAGTCTGTATTTGTTTTCATGACAGTATGGCGTGTTGTATTATATTGTAACTCTAAAATCGAATTGTTTTATGGCGCTTCATTTCAGTTTTATTAGCGGGTTTACAGTTGATAAAGAATCCAGATGGAATTCGAAACGTTCTTGAATTTAAAATATAAAGGTTGCGTACTGAAGAAAACTGTTTTTATGATTTTATATTGTAACTATTGTATAGTTATTGTATTTTATTGTATAGGTTTATAAGTTTATAATATAGTACATCATGTTTGTTTAAATAAAGCAATCATTAAACTAAAATAACTATTGTTTATCACATGAACTATATTCAGACAGGCTTTGAATCATTCAATAGCAGAGGCGTCGGCAGGTTCTTAATAAAAAAGCAGGGAGAATTTTGAGAGGTGAGGCTTTAAATTTATAGAGAGGATATAATACATCTATGATTATATAACATGTTTATTATTCCTGTATAACGTATAACTCATGAAGTGTTTGAATACATCATAATTTATTGTCATCATTTATTGCCAGCTCTTAAGGTACATAAGTGTGACTTTCTTATAAATCGCCGTCTAGACGTAAGAATATCACACATATTGACGTATAGAGCAATAAATGTTGACTTAATCAAACGTATACGTTATATACGTATTACGTTATACGGGAATAAACATGCTATAAGTGAGTTGCAAAACCAGTTATCTCCCCATAATTTGTTCTCAGGTGGGTGGAAAGTTCTCATTTTCACAATTCAGACCAAAATTGCTCAAAATATGCCAATTTTTCATGATTTTTCTCATTTTCAAGTGTGTGCAACTGGATTTTCTCAGGTGGGTGCTGCGCCAACTTGCTTAAATGCTGGGGAGATTACTGGAAACCTCTGTATTCAATTTCAATTCAATTTTATTAACATAATTTTCCTTTCATTAAAGAATATTTTTATGAGGCGTTGGACTCGTCTGCCTAATGCCTGGCTACACTCATGAATACAGAAATAAGAATTCAATATAGAGTATATAAAGCCTGGGAGGCTATAGCATCTTCCTTAACATGTGCTGTATACATATCCTTTGCATGCGATGCATACAGATCATGAGACTGCACGTGACCAGATAGGATAATAGGATTCAATATAGAGTATATAAAGCCTGGGAGGCTATAGCATCTTCCTTAACATGTGCTGTATACATATCCTTTGCATGCGATGCGTACAGATCATGAGGCTGCACATGCCTAGATAGGATAGGAATAGGATTCAATATAGAGTATATAAAGCTTGGGAGGCTGTAGCATCTTCCTTAACATGTGCTGTATACCTATCCTTTGCATGCGATGCGTTCAGATCATGAGACTGCACATGCCTAGATAGGATAGGAATAGGATTCAATATAGAGTATATAAAGCCTGGGAGGCTATAGCATCTTCCTTAACATGTGCTGTATACATATCCTTTGCATGTGATGCGTACAGATCATGAGACTGCACATGACTAGATAGTGACTCAATGTCTGTGAATATACTCCCACATATCCCACATTTAAGTATATCCGCAGTCGCAGTCTGTGTTGTTGTGTCCAAAAATGGTGATGGCTCAACTCTAAGAGGCGGAGATGTACATTTGGTGGTTATCAGTTTATTCAAAGATTCTTGATTAGGTCCAGTTACGTGAAGATTCATATGTTGTCTAAATTGATCCACGTCTGAAAATTGTTCGTCACATATCACACATATATGTACTGTTGAATTCTTTAAATTAATGACCCCTTGAGTGTTGTTGTAGATCACTTTGATGTGCTCTTCTTTGTGTTTTTCTTCATGACGCTGTAAAGCAGATGCAGATCGAAAACTTCTTTTACATTCCCTGGAAAAAAACATCAGAAATAGTGAACTAAAATTGTTTCTGAGTATAAAAATCAAAGTTGGGTAAAATGGCGAATAGGCATTTGGAATTACTGTAATACTCAAAATGGTCATTTAATAATTTGGCCAGCCTGCCAAAACTCAAGTCTTGAGCTTTTGAAAATTACCATATTCCCTCTAACTCATACTCCAATAACAGCACACACTATTCTTCCATGAAAAACAAGAAAAAGGTCTTGCTTTTTTGAGAAGTTGTATCACTGATTACATTTGTTAATTTCCTTCAAAAAAAGAAAAACCCTATTGGCATTTTTACAAAAAGTACTTTCAAGAAATGATCAATGGGCTATTGTAATGACCGGAGGGCACCCCAGTGGAATGACTAACGAGCACAGTGTATTATTAAGCCAGATAAAGAAATTGAAAGAAAGTGTGCTAAATTCAATGCCCAGTGTGGGCATCGAACCTAGGACCCTTGGACCCAAAGTCTGATGCTCTACCGACTGAGCTATAAAGGCTTAAGCCACTACAGCAGGACTGTAGTAGCATCTTGCTATCAAGGTAACACTATATATTAATGGGCTTTCAATAGATGCCCATGATATTAATAAGAGAATGTTATAATACCTGCAAGTTACATAAGGAACTGTATCACTGTTTTGACAACATCTTTCTATGTGTTTCCTATATTCTTTTTTAGTGACATAACGCCTGCCACATTGGCTACATTGGTGAGGTCTGTCGCCTAAAAAAATAATTCAAAAAATTTGATGATGTATTGGTGTTAATTTTAAGTAATAAAATACAAGTAGGGAAGTATAGGAAGTGAGCTTGCATGAAGATATATGTATATACATGTACATGTTTTGTACAATATACTCAAAATGTAGATCAATCACTTACAGATTTTTCAAGATTTTCTTTCTATCATTTATATTAGAATAAATATTTGAAAATATGGTACAACATAAAAGATTTTGGCATTTTTATGTTTAAGTAAATGATAAAAAATCCTTGTCATTTTGTCTGAAAATAAATGAAAATTCCAACAAACAATTTACCCATAAGATTAAGAGCCCTAAAAACTGGTATCTCATAAAATCTTAACTGGTATTTAATCTGAAAGGGCCTATACACACCTGTATGGTACCTCATATGATCCCTCAGGTAATCACTGCGAGCGAATCTTTTAGTGCAGACAGTACATCCAAATGGCCTCTCATTAGAATGCACACTCTCATGACGCAACAAATGCTCCTTTCTAGTGAACTTCTTGTTGCAAATTTTACATTCAAGTTTTCCATCCGGGTCTGAAATATGAGATTTATCCTATGATTCACTGTAAAAAGTGTCAATCAAAGATTTTTGCATCGCTATTTTTAACTCAACTTCCACAGCGTAACCAAGAAATGTAATCCTTTAATTTTTGAATTTTCTCAAGTTTAATGAACTTTCTTCATGTATCAAAAGCTCAAGAAAATTCATGAAGATAACGCCATAAAAATGAAAAGTTTTCCAAAATTAATGGGCTGCATTTTTTGGATCACCCTATACTAGTACATGTACCAATACTTGTAAATATGGCATACATTCTATGAATGTAGGTCAATTTCCTCAGATTATGTTGGGAGACATTACAGTAGTTAATTCACATATATTTGCTGCAACAATTAAAGATGGCACAATACATAAATATTCACACACACACAAATACCTAAATGTGTACGTTCATGACGTGTAAGGTGATAGGACAGCCTAAAGGTGGAGCCACATGTCATGCACTGAAATGGACGCTCATTGGTATGTGTGCTGGAATGACGTCTTACAGTTGCCGGACGATCTGCCACAAAGTCACAAAGCTCACATTTGTAGGTTTTCCCTGTTTTATAAGGATTTTCACCTGTAAGGTAAAGTATAGGTACATACATCAGTGATCTCCCTAGCATTAAAGCAAGTGGGCGCAGCACCCACCTGAGATTTTAAAAACAGGCTTGCACCCACCTGAAAATCCATTTTCACTCCAATTCCTGTGGACAACACTACAAAAAATTTGTTTGTTGAATGATTAAAAGGAAAAAAAATTCTTTATACAAAAGCTGAGGATCACTTGGAGTGAGCCTGATACTAGAATTTTAGTATTTCGACATCTACATGTACAAAACATGGCATGAATAAGTAAAATGTCACCGCCTGCCATTTGTTACAGATGCTGAGTGCCTAACACTGTCCGCAAAAAAGTTGTAGACTGTCACCAGTAATGATGGTGACATAAAAACTAATATCATTGAAACAATTTATCCAAACATTGCATTGTTATTTTAGAAAAACAAGAAAGTTTTCAGATTGCAAGATACATGAATGTTTCTTATGGAATATTTAGGGGCATAAAATGTGCTTAAAATGGACAAATAAATTTTAAGCTACAGTAAATCTGAATACCAATAAGACAGGGCAAATGTGTTTGGATTCCGAGTTTTTAAAGTGGTCATCTGTGGCAGAAAAAAAATTAAATTACATACCCTTGTGTATTCGTTGATGTCTTTTAAGAAGAGAGTTGCATTTTGCTAAGTATCCACATTCTTCACACATGGCACCTTTAACTTTAGTTTTCATCTTTGGTATAGATTTTCCATTTGAATCAACATCAGTATTCTTCTTTTTCCTTTTCAGAGAACCAGATTTTGTCACAAGGTCTGTATTTTGAATTGGTGAATTCAGGGTTTCTGCTTCTGCTTTTGTATTTTGGAAAATATTCTTATATTCAGGTGTGACTAGAAGTGATTTGTCCTCGCTTTCATCGTCATTAATTTCATCATCAATTGAATTTGTATCACTAATATCTTCATTTATACATGCCTTTAATGGCATCTTTGATTTTCTTCGTTTCCGAGAAGTATTCAAAGTCCCGCTGTCATTATTACTTTCTAATCTTTCCTCACAATCCATTTCAGTTTCTGGATACCCATTTTCTATATTTTCGTGATGATTATTTTCATCTGAATTATTGTCTTCTTTCGAGATTCCCAAATGTGAGACAAGACTTTTGTCTTTTGATGTTTTTGTGTTAATGGCGTGTACACGTTGTAGGTGTCGATTCAGAGAACTTCGGGATGAAAATGATTTACGATCATTTGAGCAAATATTACATATCAATGGTTTTGCTGGTTTGTTTTCCTGAAATAAAAACCATAAGTCATTAGCAGCTTGGAATAAGATCACTCATCTTGATGGTAAGTTGAGCAAGACACAGTGTTCAAGTAAAAGAATCAATCTTGAATCTGTTAATTTATTCTACTTATGCTTAATGACAATTCTACTTATTCTAAATAATATTCACATGTTTGTTGGCAAACTAATATATAATTACTCTGTGAAAAGAGTGAAATAATCACTACATGTATGTTGACCAAATAAGGTAAAATTACATGAAGTACTGTTTTGAGCCAAAAAATGGTGAGATCTGCCTTTTTCTAATCTTCAGAGAACACAGTTGAACCTACTTGGGGTTTTGAAAATAGGCTTATACAAACTTGTATCTACCTAAAATAAATATTTGCATCAACTTGAAAATGAGAAAAATCTATGAGGAAATGGTATTGCATGTACCTGTAGAAGTGTTGATTTTTGCACATGTAGTGGCATCAGTTTCACCTCTCTGCCCTGATCCATATAGACTATTCCCTCTCGTTTGAACTGTGTTACCATGTCTTCACTTCCTGCAAGTATAATCAACAAAATACAAAATAGGCATATTCACTTGAACAGGAATTATCATTTGAAAAAAATTTCAACATTCCTGGTTTCTACAGAAATTATCATTGCCAGCCAATAATCATTCCAATAAAAAATTTCAACATCATGTACATGTACACAAATTACTTTTTAAATATAAATTTCATTGGAAAAATGCTAGCCAAACTGGATAGACCATTAAACAGTTTACATATAATGTACATCTATATGATTTTTTTAATACACATTTCAACTTTTCTTGTCATCATACCTCCATACAGTATTTTCCCTTGCTGTTTTAGTTGAACAAACAAACTGCATTCTTGAAGGCCAAGAACCCGACGGCATGATTTCCATAATTCATTTAAGACCCCCTTTTGGCCAACACCATCTGACAATGATGAGCTTAATATGGTAGAACCAAATGTTGTTTGTTTCACTAAATTTTCTTCTTTCTTGATATGCCTGATTTTTGATTTTGTAAATTCATGATTAGGGATTGATGGTTTGGGTTCATGTAAGTCTTCGAGTTTATAATCTACTGTAGAGACACTTGATTCATCATTATCATCATCAATGTCATTGCTATCATCTTTGTTTCTATTGTGATCATCACTGATTTCTTGGCATTCATCATTGTATTTAGAATTATCATCACTGTTCACACAATTCATTTTGGAAGTTCAGATATGTCTTCACAAATAAGGGAAATTTATATATGATCTATAGTGTCATATTCAGCCTTGGCAATGACAATATACATACAGTACTACATGCTGTACATGTACAGCATATTTTTGTAACACTATGTGTTCTTTCTTTCAGACCAGTTGATGATGTCTAGTTCATGTATTTGTTAATTCATTATAAATAATCCAAGCTGAATTGGTTCCCCTGAAATGAAAACCATAATAGTTAATATGCAGTTCCCCGAGTGCAGCCTTCCTTGTACACTATCATACTGTAGGCATAGCACAGGCGTACCAGATGGCTGCGAATACTAAAACTAAACTTCAAAATTTTCTAGGGAGAGAACCTGGGAGAGAACCACCAGACCCAACTGAACACTTGTTTTTCGCTTCACTAGACTCATGTTCCCATAGTGGCATACTACTCATAAAATTAGCGCACGGATAGTGTGAAGTCCTCCATCTAGGAGGCATATACAATAATATAAGTAATATATGGAGGACTTCCCATAACCATGAATTAGCGCTATGCCCATGATTGTACATCCATGACCAGTGTGTAAAATATGAAAAAATCATAGGAAGCTGTATGAACTGTTTAATTCTAATGGCAAAAGATGGAAGCATGTTTTTTGTTATTCTGGCTATGGGCTTGTGTAAAAAACCGGGTGACCGGGTAACCGGGTACCCGGTCGACCGGGTACCTAACGTTCCTAGCAGGGTTACCAACTTTCAAAGTTCCACATTTCCCCCGATATATAGTAGCGAATTGACTTGACAGACTTAGCCTATCGAGTGCACTGCTGTTCGATATTTTTACCCTATACGAGGCAGAGCACTTTTTAATATAATCGATTCAGCAAACAGTGACGTCCATGTCACATTGCTCATAAGTAGCATATAAGTTCCTAGAAGACGTTGCGCATTTTCGTTCTTTACACATCAAGTCAACGTAAACATGACTGAGACATACATGTAAATTGATGGTATAAAAAGAACGTTGTTGTAACATGTCCGTAAAGTTCGTTAGTGTGGAAAACATAACAAACAGGAACGTTTGATTTTTTACTACATTGGTCCATATGTGACGTAACTCAAACGTTAAAATTCAACGTTGTCAAAACAGGCTTTTAATATCAAAATATTTGTTGGTGGAAAAAAAACATGACAAAAACTTTGTGTTCTCACTAAGTCGGTTCATTTCCGACGTATTGTTAACGTTAAAATTTAACGTTGTCGAAACGTTTTTTCGATTTGAAATAACCTCAAAACGTGACACCAATAATGACGTTCATGGACCGTATTGATCAGACGTTATTTAAATACAGTATTCAGCAAAACGTCGATGGATGGTTGAATTTCAACATTGTGGAAATGGCTTCAAAATAGAGTTAAGGAAACGTTACAAAGACGTCAATATGTTCTCACTAAATCGGTTCATTATCGACGTTATTTTAACGTTAAAAGTTAACGTTGTCAAATCGTTCTTACGATGTGAAATAACCTCAAAACGTGACGTCGAAAATAAGGTATATGTATCGTCCAGATCCAACGTTATAAATAAAAAAATCCTAACCCTGCTAGGAACGTTAAGTACCCGGTCACCCGTTTTTTTACACAAACCCTCTGGCTATTCTGGCTGTTATTCTTCTTCTTGATTGGAGCTTGATTGGTTCCTGTGAAAAAAATTCCATTGAAGTCTGAGATCGTGTAGGCTTACCTATACAGCTAAAAAGACGGTTAGTAGACTCGGATAAATAACAGGAAACTATTACTTAAATGACTTTACCTCTTTCGCAATTAAACGGTAGGATTTTACAAACTTTGAGGGCATCTTTTATATTTTGCAAAATTAAATGTAGGTCAGCTGGATTACGCTGACTGATGAAACAACTTCCGGTTACGAAAAATATCAAAAAGTAATTTCGTTTTAAACATTTTGATACTGCACTTTTAAGACGATGTGGTACGTATTAGACAAGTATTTTATATACTTCATACGGCCATTCATTCAACTATACGTAAATGTATTTATAGATTAATTAATATTGATATAAATAAGATAAACATGTATGAAAAATATTTTTGTGAATAATTTTTACTTTCAACAAGTTCATTTCCTTCCTTCATCATAAAATTCCCAACTATTCACAATACAGGTGCTCCCTGGGTAGTACCACAGGATCTTGTAGCACGTTTATGAAGACTGATATGGGGCTGCCTGATATGGGGCTTTATATAGAGAGTTACTTCTTATACTGTAGGGCCTATCATAGTGCTCATCTCATATCATAGTGCTACATGCCTCTGTGGGTAGTACGAGAGTGGTGCCATCCTGTGAAAGCAAACACATGTTTGTAGGATGTACAGGATCCGCACTCTTACTACCGAAGGAGCACTTGTGATTTACAAAAAAAAATGTATATACAATGTATGATACATGTGTGAGTACTGCACATGGCGTACCCAATAGTACTTAAGTCTCTAGCCAATCTTTGGCTAGAAGTAATTTCATCTGCAACACCGTGAACGCCATTTGAAAAAGTGGGCCGGCGTGTCATAAATTTATTGAATATTTTAAAAATCGCCAGATAAATCAATCATTAATTAAAATGGGACCGGCTTGGTTCCTTGATGAGATACAGTATTGCATGATTTCGTCAGAATTTCGTCTAAAATTAACACAAATGGCTCCAAGAAAATATGGCGATATTCGAAAACTGGATGAAATGTTGTTAATGTCTGACATTAGTAACTTGCTGTAAATTCTAAGTTAGCGATCCAGAAGATGTGAACTAATACATTGATCACTTCATGTGTGTTTTTGAATTTTTGGTGAGGTAATAAGACCAAAACTCGCAATTCAAATTGTGATATGGAAAAATGGCGGACATTTGATTTCAAATTTTATGATTACAACATGACCTGTTATACATTCAGGAATTTATCTTTGGACGAAGGCCACGACACAGAGGCCTTAGAAGAAGGTAAAATAGTACATGTATCTCCAAGTTAGAGGACATAGGGGCATTCTCGGCCATGGGGCATTCCTGGACAAACCCTTGGTATCAGCATGGGCTTTCAACTAGAAAATCAGAGGCATTGTTAGACTTTTTTCAATATATATCACCACATCGATTATATGATGTGTCTTATTTGAAGTTTCAAGAAACCATATAAAATAAATTATTGAAGATCGTCCGACAATGCCCTGTGTCCAAGATAAATAATTTGAAGTTTCAATTAAGAAACCATATAAAGTAAATTATCGAAGATCGTCCGACAATGCCCTGTGTCCGAGATAACCCCTATGTCCTCTATTGGCTAGAGACTCTATTGGCTAAGTACAAACAAATGTGTACAGCATCCTGTAATTTCAAAAGTAGGCATCATTTTGACAAATCATCTGTTATTACATGTAACTGTCTAAAAATCAATCATTTACATTCTTACAGTTAACAACTTTAAAACTGGTAAACAAAAATCTGCTAATCAAGATGACTGACAGGACAGGGGTTGGCCCTCCACGTGTGCTCAACTGGACTGCCATCCAAAATGATGAAAGACTTCGGGAACAACTTCAAAGTGTTTTAAACAATGTGGGTCAAAGTGGCAACAGACAAACAAGTGCAATAAACAATCCCATCTCAGAGCAAGGCATGCCAAATACTGTGATTGACATGTCAGGTGGACAGGCAACTGGATTAGGCCAGACCTCCAATGCCCAAAACCACACCCACTCACATAGCCACACCCCTAATGAAGCTAGCCATGACCATTCCCATGCTAACAACCAGGGAGAAGATCAAGGAGCAATGGGTGGGGCCAGTGAATTGAGTAGCCAGCAACTAAAGCTACTCTGGGTTTTCCTACAGAAGGGCCTGCCATTCCTTTTACTGCTTCTTGCCAAGGTTCTTTATAACCATAGATTAGGTATGAACTGAAGTAGCTCAAATATATGTACATTTTATGTCACCACCACAAGTTGTTATGTCATCACCACAAGTTGTGACATATTGTTATGATCTCTAACTTTTATGAACAATTTTGTTCAGTTATAAGTGTTTGATGGTTGATGCTCAGCATTTGGCAGACAGCGGTTGGTGTCTGTAACAAATGGCAGGTGGTGCCATTTTGCATGCCCTGTTATTTTCTGTAGTAGTCTCATTAGTACCATTGACTATCATTTTGCCTCATCAGAAGTCAAAAAAGGTAATGAAATATGGATATGATATATGATATTGGAACTGTAATATCATCTATAGTCGGAGTGTAATGTGACAAGTGTCAGGGTACAAAAGTTTCATCTTTTTTTTGTCCTGAAGACTTTGCCTCACTTAAAAATTGATGAAAACTTTCAACATATTACTTTTATTTGTACATTTTATTTTTACATGTATTGGTTCTAGCATATTGATTGCTTTCTCTTCAGGCATCCTTGTGTGTATTGGGCTGTTTGGTACCTACTGGCATGCTAACACAGCTATTAAGAAACAGATTGCACACAGGGTAAGTAATTGGATGTGAAGGCAGGCCCGTAGCCAGGGGGGGGGGGGGGTTCGCAGGGTTCGGGCACTTCTCTTGTGATTTTAGCCATATTTGGGCCAAAATTGTCAAATGTGAACCCCCCTGGAAATTTTTGAAAACTGAACCCCCCCTTGGCAAATCCTGGCTACGGGCTGGAAGGTAACCATTGGTCATTATTCTGTAGCTACTTGAGCCAGGAATGAGTCTTTCAAAGCAACTTCCTGAAAAAAACTTAATGAACACCTAATAAACGTCCATTAGCCAGTATATTTGTCTCAATGTTCACCTATTTATTTTTCCTCGCCTGATTTAAATTCTTGCTATGCCCCTGATGAATAGTAGTCTTTACACTTACACATAACAATTATAATGTAAAAGTAATACTAGGTGTTCACTTGTGTTGTCTTAGCAGCTCAGAACATTCTCATTGGCTTTTTGCAATTTTGTAGTTTGTTTTGATCTCAGTATTTCAGTTGTTGATCTTTATATAAAATTGTAAGCACAATTTCCAAAATTGTAAAAAAGAAGATTTCAAACATAAGAGGTAATTCCACATGTTCATCTCATTTATAATTTATATTAATTTATGATAATATACCACTATAAAGAACAATAAGTTTATGTTACCTGTTCTGCTTTTGTTGTAAAATTAAAGAATTATTTGTATAAAGTAGAATCTGTCTAAGTGGAACTCCTTTGGTACATCAAAAAAGTGTTCCACTTGGGAGGTGTTCTATTAATAGAGGTTCATTTAAAAGTCAGTCAATTGGTCTTGGGACTCTTTAAAAGTGTTCCACTAACAGGTGGTCCACTTTTAGAGGTGTTCCACTTCACAGGTTTCACTGTATATGCTTCTGTAACATTTCACCATTATTACATTTTCTACACATGTATTTCAGGCTAGGGAATCAACTACGAAAACAGTACTTACCACACTTTGGCTTGTGACATTTATTAGTGGAAATATATTCTTTATCTACTATGTGTTTGAGGATCAACAACTGTATAGGAGGTAAGATTTTAAATTGTTAAATGAACAGTCCATCTAGAATATTCTCTGTATGGATAAAGTTAGTCTTAGAATTCTGGATAATTTCACTGTATTTGCACCTGTGGACTGTTGTTCTTTAATGATATGTATTTTTGGATGAGTATACTTGTCAGCAAACACATTTTTTTGTTATATGACTGTGAAAGTGAAACATCTTTGCTACCACAAAATGTCATTCCACTTTCAGAGATTCATTGAACATTAAGGTGCCATGATACTTTACAGGAAATGACAAAACAGGAAGTGACAAAAAAATTTGCATTTTTAGACATAGTTAAATTGACTGGAGGTCAAAACAGAACTCTGTTATCTTTGTTCAAAAAATGTCTAAAAACGCATAACTTTTTGTCACTTCCTGTTTCATCATTTCCTGTTAAGTATTTGCGTTGCACTTATGGAGGTGTTCAAATTTAATACAGGGGTTCCACTTTGCAATTCACTATTTTTCAATCATAACTTCTTTTTTCCAGTTTATATTTCTTCCCCCCTAATATGGAGGAGTTACCAGAACTAGATATGTGGACCTTGCTTTGGGTGGTGGGAATGACAGATTTTGTGGCAAAATTTGGCGGAATGATCATAAAATCTCTAATAGCTGCCATGCCTGTTCAGTGCATGCCTTATAAAGCCAGAGTAGGTCATCAACATTGTTGAATTGGGAATATATATTTAGATATTGAACTGTTATGCTCGATATTATAAATTATGGAGCAATATAAATTAATAGTGTTTGATTTCAGTTTTTCACAATTTTGGGACATAGGCTAATTATTTTTTTAAAATGCTGCATCACAACAAAAATGGGTTCAATACCCATTGAGATGGACTTTTTCACATGAGAACTAATAGCACAGAATTAATTTTTTTTATCTTCAATCAAATTATAAAATTATTGTAACTTAAATTGAAATAGCACAAAAGGCAATATTCTAAAATAGAAATTAAACTATAGGATGTATTGATCTTCATGTGAATAAGAATTCTAAAAATGATAATCAAGAATGTCCATTGTTAATGTTTCCAGGGGAAATACTACCTAATGGTGGAAGAGACTGTTCAGTTCTATAGATGCCTGACCCCCATCACCCCCTGGTATCTTACCCTAGTGAACCCTACCCATGGGGGACAGTGGTTCGCAGCATTGCTAATAGTCATATACACAGTACTCAAGGTGAGTTATAGTCATATACACAGTGCTCAAGGTTAGTTATAGTCATATACATAGTGCTCAAGGTGAGTTATAGTCATATACACAGTGCTCAAGGTGAGTTATAGTCATATACATAGTGCTCAATGTGAGTTATAGTCATATACACAGTGCTCAAGGTGAGTTATAGTCATATACACAGTGCTCAAGGTGAGTTATAGTCATATACACAGTGCTCAAGGTGAGATATAGTCATATACATAGTGCTCAACGTGAGTTATAGTCATATACACAGTGCTCAAGGTGAGTTATAGTCAAATACACAGTGCTCAAGGTGAGTTTAGTGTATATTTATTGATTGCTTTTGAGGTACAACACCTGCACCCCGGAATAGCCTGACAACGGTGAAGTCATTGACGATATGGGATTTCATACGATACATTATCACAAGAGCTTAATATATGCACAGAATTAGCGACAATAAAATCCCATGATATGAGGACCAAGTGATTAAACAGTTGAAGTGACGGTTATGTCCGCCATTTGTGACAACGGTATCTGACTTTACCGTTGTCAGGCTATTCCGGTGTGACCTGGGTAAAGAAATGTATAGATGAATTTCACCTTTTAAACCAGAATAAAAATAATTTTTGGAGTACATGGAGACATTGATATCTAGGGGTAATTGTTAGACAAATTGATTGTCTGAGTGGCCAACAATTACACACAAAGATGATATTGCCAATATGTTTTAAATTAACAAATTATTGACTTAAAGAACTTTAAGATAATTAACTACTTTTAAGACATAAAAATTGCTTCAAGGATCTCTCAAGATGAATTCCAATAAAACTGTCCAAACCTTTAATATGATATCAAAATTTAAAACATGTGTAAATTGATAGCCATTACTCATAACATCATTTCAAAATACATTATTAAGATATTGTATATAATATTTCATAATTTTACATTCCAGTCTATGTCACTATGGAAGAGACTTCTGCATTATAAGAAAACTATACAAAAATTCCGTTCAGATTTGGTGAGTAATGTTTATCAGGTTGTATGTGCTCTTAAAAGTCTATTTTTAATACAAGTACATGATGATGCAGTACACTTTGCACAGTCTACCTAATAACAGCAAAAAAATAAGTAAATTGTATGACTGAAAAAAGAAATGAGAAATTTGAGAATATAACAGGTTATGAGAAATAAATTAAGAATTGCTATTTTGGGACTTTTTTATCAAATAAGCATGGTCATATATCATTAATTCATGTTTATTTCTTGTAGAGCTATGGCATGACAGTTAAGGAAAGTGACTTAACTGAGCAACAGTGCCCCATATGTCAAGACAACTATAGCCAACCTGTTAAACTCACATGTGGGGTAAGTGACAATCTCAATTCATATTCATAACCATCTAGTCCATCCTTGTAATCTTGTAATGGAATTACATGTGTTTAACATACAGCATGGTACATGCACATGAAATTCTAGATCTTGCAATTATTTTTCCTCAGCATTACCATGGTTATTATCTATTTTATACACCATTTCCCACATCTACAATTCACACCCTATTGTGCCATTAGCTTGCTAAGGGTATCACACTCAGTATATATTGAGCAATCGCGGGTTTCCTATATCACAAGTATTTTTTAAATATCTCTGTGATCATGATGTAAAAAGGCTATGAATAGCCTTGCTGGGATTGTATATTGGTTTCATCCCAAGGAAAGATATCATATCATCATGAAGGATAAACCCTATATACATGTACAGTGTACAATGCTTCTTAGTTATAATATTAATACTGCATTATGTTCTACTTCCAGCACATATTCTGTGAAGACTGTGTCTGTCTCTGGTTTGATCGGGAGCGTACATGTCCAATGTGCCGAGCAAATATTGTAGATGATCCAATATGGCGGGATGGAGCGACAAGTGCTGCCATCCAGTGGTACTAAAAACACTGAGTTACACAGACTTATTTATTTGGCAGTATATATGAGCTTGACGCCAAGGAGTTCAATATAAAATGAAAAAACATTCTCAAAATTTGCTGCATGGTGTACGGATGTCATGTTTACTGATTATAAAAAAGGTCAATTATTTACTATCTATTATCCAGAAGAATTTTGATGTGTCAGGATCTCATACTAAATAAAAGGAAATGGGTCTATGATTCTACTAACTTTTCTGTTTATATATTAAATTCCTTGGCCTCACGTAGAAAATTTTAAAGAGAAAACACCACAACGGACTTGCATGTCTGAACACTTTTTCTCAATTCCAATTTTCTTCTCTCCCATTGACTCACATGTAAAGAAACTTTGAAATGTGAACACTTGCTAACTGAACACTTTTGGCCGGTCCCAATGGTGTTCAGATTTAACAGGTTTCACACCCTTGATAATGACCAGTAGTGCAGTAAAGTACAGAGAATTCAGATGTACAGTGTGTCTCAAAAAAAATGTTACACTTACAAAAAGTTCAATATCTTTCATGATTTTGACTTTTCCCCTAAAATATACTTAGATACCATAAGACCAGTCTTTCTCGAATAAAGTCACACCATCAGATTCAAAATCAGTCCAAGATTGACTGCACAGGACAGATTTTATAGACGCATGTGAAATCTGATTTGCGCCAATTTCTCAGTGGCTGGACATGTGGTGATCAATTCTTTTTTTGGTGTGAATGCTGTGGACAGTCATTTCTTGATATGATCAATGATCCAGTTGTTTCTTTCCTGGATAGAAATACAAGATTTCATTGTCGGTGTTCAATTTTGTTACGTATGATCATATGATGGTAACAGGATGCAAAGGCCTGTGGCAGATCATTTGGTAGAAATCTTTGGAAATCAGAAGATAGCATTGAATTACCCAATGGATTGGCCCCCAGGGTCATCCCACTTTACACCCTTGAGTTTTTGAAGGGCCTCTGAAAGCGGTTTACAGCATCACAAACTGACCTATATGAACTTCTGCAAAAATAATTGATTGAATCAGAGTGATATTACAATTCATGTGTGCATGGGCAAGGGTACCTCAGATTTGCTTTGGAGAACATGTTGAGGGGACCACATGTTTATGTGGATAGACCCAATGGTCATATGTAAGACAAATAGGAAAATTACATAATGACTCAGTTTAAGGTCAAGCTTCTACTCAGAAGAAAGTTAAATATTAAAGAAACTGTTACTCTTTTGTCATTTGGTCCATCCAATCACTTAGAAGTTGGCGCAAGTCTGATTTTACCATGGGACACTAAAAACTGTCATGTGGAGCCAATCAATGACAGATTTTGAATTTGATGGTGTCAAATTATTCGAGAAAGATTTGTTTTTTGGTATCCAAAGTATATTTTAGGGAAAAATAAAAATTATGAAAGATATTGAACTTTTCGTGAGTGTAACATTTTTTTTGAGACACACTGTATATTTAATAGGGTAGGGGATAAAATGTAATCCTCTAATTTTAGAATTTTGAGGGAAGATTTGACTTTAGAAAGTTCCATTTTTGTGTCATCTTGTTCACATACATGTATTAACCCTTGAGTGGTTAGGCTATAGAGAATTACACCAAAGGTCAGGGGGGCAGATCTGCGCTTAAACATGCTTTATTCAATTTCAATCAGGGAGACCTCCCCCCTTAACCGTTCAAGAGTTAATGATAAAATAATTTTAGTTTTTACACCCCCCCCCTCTTCATGTATAGTATAGAGTGATAACAAAAGGATGATACTGTACGTCATATTGTATACAGTGTATATGTACAATCCTACAGTATAAGATCGTATATCACAGACACAATTTAATATACAACTTTAAAAACGAAATACACAAACATGTAAGATTGGTATAAAGAAACGTATTCACATAATCAAATTCCTGCAAGCTTAAGCTTCATCTTCATTGGGGTTAAGGGTGTTCAATGTACAAAGGGTTAACTTGAGAGGAAAGTATTAATTATATGTTGCCATGGTGATAACTTGTATGATTTATTCTTGTAATTTATGTACATACTCGAAATAAAAGTAAATACTCCTGATCATTGTTGTTTTGATTTGGTATGGCATGTGTATTACATCATTGGAATTAAATGATTCAAACTCCGCAGAAACAAAAAAATATGAATGAAATCCAACCATTGAGTTCTCTTCAAAACTGGAAAAAACACCCATTACCCATTGGTGGGAACATATTGTACACTTGTGTGTCCTCGTGTAATATTTTAACGTGCACCAAAATATTTTTATTAAATTTTTTACTAATTAAAATTAATATTGCCATTTTGGAATTGATTGCCGTAATCCCTCCCAATCCTGCGTAAATATTATTAAAACCCCAAGAAAACCCAAAATATGGACGTTTTTTTGCCCACCCTGTAGATACACTCGGTAGAAAATAAGTTACTTTAGGATACACCGCATACCAAGCTTTCTTGTTTCTTAATTCACCAACAAACAATATTTAGGATATCAACAGTATTTATTTTACCTAAATCTTCTAAATGCATTCTTTCCTTACTGACCATGTACAGAACACAAAACAGGTTAAGTTGTACTATAAAATGTGTAAAATCTTTATACATGTCATTTTCAATTTTCAAATTGTTTTTATATTACAAAAGTACCCAACTGAGTAGTATTTAGCATTTAAATTGCCATTACCTGGTAAGATTATAACTAAAAATATCTACATGTTGAAGTCATTTAATATAAGGGAGGTTAAGCTACATGTTTTAAGGGCACTTGCTCGTGTAACATGATCATAAATGACCCCCTTGTGTTTACCAGCCCACTCTCAGTTATTTTTTACAGGAACCTTAATTACAACAACACTTCTTTATACATCAATTGGTCGAGAACTCAAGGACAATATTTCAATATGTTCAAATACTCTTGAGATGTGTTGCTCAATCAGCCAAGTAAATGCTATGAAGGGAAGAACCATAATTCCACTTGTCCACATCCAAGTTCTTTTAAAAACCTCACTTTTACTGTTAGAGTATCCTTTTATGAACTACTATAGGCCTTTGACCTATCTATATGAAGCATTTTAGGTTTACATGGATGAATAACTCCACATTCTCCTCTAAGTATACTAGTAGTTTGTACAGTCAACAATAGAAGAATGTCTGTTCACTTCACAATATCACCATTTGTATCTTAGAATTGTGGCATATCTTTCTCATTGTGTGCACCTTACATCCAATTATACTGTTAGTAGGTCTAGGATATCAGTTTTATCCCCTTGGGATATCATATCTGTATATTTATCCATTTTGCTTTAATTCAATAAACAGACTAAACTGTACATACAATTGTACATGTATATAATATATGTGGTAGGTTTGTAATCACTTATGGCAACGGAATATCCACACCTTATATTATTTTATCTATGTTTTTTCTATCCATTCCTGGCCATTGAAGTTGTGAATAACAATTTCTTCTTTCCTTGTTTTTTCTTCTTTTTTGATCCAGTTCCATCAGAACCATCTGAAACATGCATAGTTTTTACATTTATTTTATACAAAATCTTTTTGCAACGGTACACCAAGATTTGCAATCCAAATTTTTGAAATATCTTTTAAGTTTAAAAAGACAAGCGATAAATGATTCAAGTATCTATGTTACTGAACTGATTTGGGACCCAATGAGACCACCTTATCTCTTTTACAAGTGATCAAAGACCTAGGAAACCCTGCTTGAATATGTACTGCAGCGCTTGCATTAGGCTCTGAAAAATGTGAGTCCCAATGAAGGAAAAATTTTTAACAAGAACACAAATGTGTACAAAATGTCCCCACCAATGGGTGATCCCATCAAATGGTTATCCTGAAAATGAGTAGACAAGACTTTACCAACACAATTTTAATTGATCCGTCACACAGTTAACTAGAAAACATGTAAACAAGACTTTACAGACAAGATTTTAGGATGGAAAATCCAAAATGGCTGCCTTGACATTTACCCAGAATGTCAAAAAACTAATCTGTTCCTAGATTTTCATACTAAGAATCATCCCTGAAAATATGACATTGATCTACCAAATGGTTCACCTGAAAACGCGTAGACAAGACTTTACAGACAAGATTTTAGGACAGAAAATCCAAAATGGCTGCCATGACATTTACACAGAATGCCAAAAACACTAATCAGATGTAGATTTTCACACTAAGAATCATCCCTGAAAATTTGAAATTGATCTACCAAACGGTTCACCTAAAAACGCGTAGACAAGACTTTACAGGCAAGATTTTAAGACGGAAAATCCAAAATGGCTGCCTTGACATTTATCCAGAATGCCAAAAAACTAATCAGATCTAGATTTTTATACTAAGAATCATCCCTAAAAATTTGAAATTGATCTACAGAACGGTTCACCTGGAAATGCATAGACAAGACTTTACAGACAAGATTTTAGGACAGAAAATCCAAAATGGCTGCCTTGACATTTGCCCAGAATGCCAAAAAACTAATCAGTTCTACATTTTCATACTAAGAATCATCTCTGAAAATTTTAAATTGATCTACCAAACGGTTCACCTGAAAACGTGTAGACAAGACTTTACAGACAAGATTTTAGGACGGAAAATCCAAAATGGCTGCCTTGACATTTACCCAGAATGCCAAAAAACAAATCAGATCTAGATTTTTATACTAAGAATCATCCCTGAAAATTTGAAATTGATCCACCAAACGGTTCACCTGAAAACATGTAGACAAGACTTCACAGACAAGATTTTAGGACGGAAAAATCCAAAATGGCCGACAATAAAAAAGTGATTATGTGTTTTTGCTGATTTCTTCTTACAAAATTATCACATATTACTACTGTTAACAATAACATAGGCTTTTACAACAAAGTAGATCTGAAATTATTTATAAAGCTACTAAATAGTTAAAGTATGAAAACTCAAAAACACCATTCAATATGATACAAAGTATTATCGTGCGCTAACTTTTCTTAAGACATTCAAAATGGCTGATATGACTGAGCTAACAGGTCCAAAACCTAATCAGATCTAGAATGAAGTGAGCTGAACAAGATGTTAAAGTTTTAAAAGCAACTGTGAAGCCGTTTTTCTTAAAGTTTGCAGACAAGGATTTTAGCATTTTACTTCAAAATGGCCGACAGGAAGTAGGTATCGAGTTAAAAATTTTTCATCCACATCTGTATGCACTCATAAGTTATCCCTGAAAATTTGAAGGTGATATCTGTAGCAGTTTTGGAGAAAACTCCCGGACGTACGGACAGACGGACGGACGGACGTACGGACGGACAGACGGACGCGCCTAGGCCGACAATATGGCCCCACACTATGTGGTGGGGACATAAAAAGTGAGTCCCGAGCGAAAAAAGTGTGTCCTCCAATATATAAGCTAAATTACCTATAATGGGCTATTTTGGAATGTGCATGACTTGATCTTACATGTCTTATGTGTTTTCAAAATGTTGCCATTCGTGCCCTGTGATTTAAACATGTTCTTTATATTCAATTCACTTATGTTATGTAACCTCCAGCCTGTTATAGTAAGTACTATTATACTGTGATTATCTTTATACTTGCTGTTTGCACTGAACAACTGCTTGAAAAAATAAGAACATTTTTTAGTATGAATTTGTCTGACGCTCAGTAATTTAGTGTATCACTACATTTTCTACATGATCAGAATCCTCTGATTTATATCATAAATTAGACCATTTTGACGTTATATAATCACAAATAGACTACTTCACCTAGGTAAGTATGCATCATTTGTATGATTGAACTCATTTTGAAGGTTTTATATGAGCTTTTCAGTGAGAAAAATATGTCACATGCAAACTGATAACCTATTATCGCCCATTACAATAGTTCGTTTTTCTGCATTCTTTTTCTTTTTTACTCAAAATAAAGATGTAAATCTCACATATTTTGATCTTAATATACACCTCAAAGAAGTCAAACATGATCAACTATTGAGATTTTCAAGATTTTCAAAAAATGTTCAAAGTTTTGACTCAATTTTTTTTCCGTCCCAAAAACGGAAATATTTTTTATTTTTCCGTCCTACAATTTTTTTTTGCGTCACTTACATGTAAGGGACGCCGTTAATGCAAGCCCTGGTACTACTGTGTTCTTTCATGTGCACTTCACTACATTTACATAAACATAGGCTAAGGGTTAAGTAATAGTAAGCTGTATACAGAAGAGACAGGTGAACAACTAGGATTTAGGCCACTTGTTAACATGGTGATTTTAACATTATTTGTGTATAATTTGCAAAAAACAATGCAGAGTTGATCCAAAATTGATAGTTCTCAATTCTTACCTATGAATCAACCACATTCAAGTGATATAGAGTGAATAAAGCCGTCTTGAGGTGAGATATTCTGAAAACCTACAATTGCCTGGCAAGTTACCCGGATTTCCGTGTTGAACCATGAATGGAAGTTTGAAACAAGGAATTTGATTGGTTCCTGCTAACCGCCGCCAGTGACACCTATCTGGTTCTCTAAAATGTAATTCATTTTCTAGAAATAACAATCAATTAAAGTGTACAAAACTATAAAAGGTTTACTTAATAATTATTTATCAAAACATCTGATTCATATAATATCTTTTTAAACCCAATTTAAATGGTGAAATTTCAATCTTCCATGTGTCCGGAAGTTTCAACTTGCCGGGCAATTGCAGGTTCGTACAGTTGGTGTTTTTTATGCTGTCTTATCGAAGAGTTAGGATATAGATTTGAAATATTCAACAATCTACGTTTCGAAAACACTTTGGAGAAGATTCTTGGGAGATTTGGTGGTACGACTCGATACCAGTAAGGAGAACTCGTACCAAGACGGCAAGTTTTTGAAAATTTTTTCAATCCTAATTGTTTACCTGTCTCTTCTGTATACAGCTTACTATTACTTAACCCTTAGCCTATGTACATAAAGGTACTTAACATGACAAAATGTCATCACCCAGAAATGGTTAAAATTGTTACAAATGCCATAAAGGGTGGCTGTCACAATACTGTATGTATGTCACCTCTTCTAGCTGTTGACATTACAAGAACACATGACAGCCTTTTTTGTACAAGTCATGGAAGACTGTCAAACACCCCACATTACTACATTGTCTGATACAGAAATCAAACCAGGGGCCAATTGGTCTTACATAATCTGCTCTCCAACTGTGCTTGCCACATGGATATCATATTACAATTTAACTCTACCTTGACTGTCTGCCTTGCCCTTATCAAGAGCAGCTTGTATAGCATCACCAAATGATGCATGAAACTCCGGCACAGGGACACGGTCCTCATTATCACTCTCTTCACTGTCTACACGGACATGTCCTCCACCCTGAGGCTTTACACTAGAGACTGGTTTTGATAATGATTTTATCGGCCACTGGCGAGGTTTATCATGACCTGCCTTCAACATCTGAAATTTTAAAATCCCCATTTAAGTTTATTATTCATCAACTGAGTGTTTTTAATGGAGTAAAACACTCCACGGGGAGCATTGGTCAATATTAATAGGAGCATCGGTCGTAATAAAAACACATATTGAAGCAACCTATTTTTCTAAGTGTGACCACTTTCAAACCACCACGATTGACCATTCATGAGTGATAATACCGCGATAAAATCATGTACATTTTAATCCATTAATTTTGAATTCATGAATGTGGACTACAATGCCAAAATATCATTCATTTTTTGAAGTTTTAATTTTCCTTTTAAAATCATGTTTACCTGTACAAAAAGTACACCTGTGTACAGCTTAATTCTTTCTTACCTGTGCAAAAGATACAGGTGTGCACCCCTGTTCGCCAAGATCACTGCTAACACTATCTATAGAACCAACATGTGTGACATGACCACTCAGGTTTGCACTCACACTCGGGTTGTGTGTACTGGCACTCGGGTTGAACTCACAAGCATTGGGATTAAGGTATGAACCTAAAAAGTTTTATTGGGATTGAGTTAATGTGTGAACTGTATTGTTAAAACTAATCAAGAGTAATAATATGTAACTACACAACATATGGGTCTTCCCTCTCCTAAACTACATAACTTAAGACAAAAATGAATATACCAACTCAACTTCAAAACATTACACATATATTTAGAACCATTTAGAAATTGATCCAACTGTGGAAAGTGTAATACATAGCAGCCAATTAGCATATTTCAATCTTACCTAATGGACTTCCCAGTGGGGTAGGCTCTTGAGAGGATGTACTACTGCTCGGGGAGGGAAGACTTTCGCTGAATGAATCACGGTATTCTGGAAACTGACGCCTACTCTCAATTGGTATATGGAGACCTGGCTCTGAAAACAAAAAAATTTGAGGCATTAACATGACATTATGTCAGGCTCTGATTGCCAACTGCTGAACACCAACTGTCATCACAAAAAAGGAGACCATAAAAATGTGTCATCACAAAAAAGAGGGCTGTCAAAAATGAAGAAAACTTCATACAGCGTATTATCTACACATACGAGGTATATGGTGAAATTTAGCCTATCTATTTCTGCTATATCCTTTTCAATTGGTACATAGAAATTTTGAATTGAATTATTTTTTTAATTTATTGCTCAATATTTATCAGGAATTTAACTGGATGTATCATAATAATGAAATTCTTATTCTTAATCTAAACTATGCACAATATACTTACGAATACCCATCTTCTTATTTTCCTCTATTGTAATTTTTTTGTTTCTCCTTTTGTCATCACGATCTTTGCGATGTCTCATTCTACGCCTTTTATCCAGCTCATCTTTAAAGTATAAAAAAAGTACATCTTAAAATGTAAACTCAAAATCATAAAAAACAGTATTGAAATCAGCAACAACTTGTTACATTCTTCAATCCATTTGCAGGTGTTACATTTGGGCATATTCATTGTTCATGCCTTATTTGCATAATTCAATTCACCGATTTTAAAGCTGGAAGTGGGGTTACCCTTATAAAAAGATCAATGGTATTCAATGTGTTTTGTCATGTTGCTTACAACATTGAACCGTGGTAGTACTCCCATTGATACAACCACTGTTACAATGTATGCTAATAAAAGAATTGAGGTTGAAATTGGTTGTTAACCATTGTTTCAACAACACTGACAATACAATGTATCCCTACTGTGAATCTACCATAGATCTACCATGGAAACTGCCATTGTAATAACAACTAAGCCATTGTTGCTTCAATCAACTGTTCTACAATGGTTCAACTACCATTTTAATGTGATTTAAAATGTTTAATGTTGAAGATTTTTATTCTGGCATTCCAAAAGATGGCATTGCTAGTTTCTCCACATTTACATCATAGTTTAGTGAAGAATATTGAGCCTATTTTGATGATAGTGAGACACAAATAAATTAGCTTATTTAGGGCTGTTATTGTAGCCATTATATGAATAAAATCAATTTAAATAAAATGATCTTGAAACCCTGATCCTCTCCTTTATGACTAAACCAAAACACTTAAATCTGTAAATTGTAGCATTCAGAATGAGAAGTTCATTAGAACAATGACAAAAACTAACCCTTATAAGTATTTGATTTACAGTTAAATGATTATTCAGCTTTTTAATACTTTCACATACACATCATTCTGATGGTGGTGGTGGTTTGGATATCTTCACTGTTCAAATCCATATTTTTGAATAGAGATATTATTGAAATTCAGAATTGAGAATTTTTATGTTTTCACATAATACTACATTATGTGTATGGTATATCTTCACTATTTCCGCCATTTCATAGATACATGCATGGGTCTGTTGAAAGCCCATGATACGTGTAAACATAATTGTTTGAATGTAATTCTTGCTGTTCATATTGTTGATTACATTTACAATTGTTTGCATCATAGGAGGGATACGTATTCTAGATTATAGTTATGATAAGAATTTAAAATTGAGAATTTCAATATTTTCGAATATCGTACATCATGCCTTTGGTAGATCTACCATTGTTTCTACAGTTGCAGAAACCGTGGTTGTTTGAATATAATTCTCCTTGTTCAATTTCATATTCTAGATATCAGATATGATTAAAATTGAAAATTGAGAATTTTTATATTTTCAGATATACTTCATCATGCCTTTTATAGATCTACCATTGTTTCTACTGTAGCAGAAACAATGGTAGTTTGAATATAATTCTCATTGTTCAATTTCATATTCTAGATATCAGTTATGATTATAATTATCCTATGGAACCAAGTTCTGAGGGATATAGGGAACGCCTCTGTCTGTCCGTCCGTCCATACGTACGTCCGTACGTCCATAACAGTTATGATTGTTCAATTTCATATTCTAGAATCTAGATATCAGTTATGATTGTAGTTTAAAATTGAGAATTTTTATATTTTCAGATGTACTACATCATGCCTACAGTGGATCTACCATTGTTTCTACTGTAGCAGAAACAGTGGTAGTTTGAATATAATTCTCATTGTTCAATTTCATATTCTAGATATCAGTTAATGATTATAATCTAAAATTGAGAATATTTATATTTTCAGATGTACTACATCATGCCTACAGTAGATCTACCATTGTTTCTACTGTAGCAGAAACAGTGGTAGTTTGAATATAATTCTCATTGTTCTATTTCATATTCTACATATAAGTAATATGATTATAATTTAAGATTGAGAATATTAACATTTTCAGATGTACTACATCATGCCTACAGTAGATCTACCATTGTTTCTACTGTAGCAGAAACAGTGGTAGTTTGAATATAATTCTCATTGTTCAATTTCATATTCTAGATATCAGTTATGATGATAATTTAAAATTGAGAATATTTATATTTTCAGATGTACTACATCATGCCTACAGTAGATCTACCATTGTTTCTACTGTAGCAGAAACAGTGGTAGTTTGAATATAATTCTCATGTTCAATTTCATATTCTAGATATCAGTTAATGATTATAATTTAAAATGGAGCATTTTTATATTTTCAGATATACTACATCATGCCTTTGGTAGATCTACCATTGTTTTTACACTTGCAGAAACAGTGGTTGTTTGAATATAATTCTCATTGTTCAATTTCATATATCAGTTATGACGCTAATCTAAAATTGAGAATATTTATATTTTCAGATGTACTACATCATGCCTACAGTAGATCTACCATTGTTTCTACTGTAGCAGAAACAGTGGTAGTTTGAATATAATTCTCATTGTTCTATTTCATATTCTACATATAAGTAATATGATTATAATTTAAAATTGAGAATTTTTATATTTTCAGATGTACTACATCATGCCTACAGTAGATCTACCATTGTTTCTACTGTAGCAGAAACAGTGGTAGTTTGAATATAATTCCATGTTCAATTTCATATTCTAGATATCAGTTAATGATGCTAATCTAAAATTGAGAATATTTATATTTTCAGATGTACTACATCATGCACACAGTAGATCTACCATTGTTTCTACTGTGGCAGAAACAGTGGTAGTTTGAATATAATTCTCATTATTCAATTTCATATTCTAGATATCAGTTATGATGCTAATCTAAAATTGAGAATATTAACATTTTCAGATGTACTACATCATGCCTACAGTAGATCTACCATTGTTTCTACTGTAGCAGAAACAGTGGTAGTTTGAATATAATTCTCATTGTTCAATTTCATATTCTAGATATCAGTTATGATGCTAATCTAAAATTGAGAATATTTACATTTTCAGATGTACTACATCATGCCTACAGTAGATCTACCATTGTTTCTACTGTAGCAGAAACAGTGGTAGTTTGAATATAATTCTCATTGTTCAATTTCATATTCTAGATATCAGTTATGATGCTAATCTAAAATTGAGAATATTTACATTTTCAGATGTAACTACATCATGCCTACAGTAGATCTACCATTGTTTCTACTGTAGCAGAAACAGTGGTAGTTTGAATATAATTCTCATTGTTCTATTTCATATTCTAGATATAAGTAATATGATTATAATTTAAAATTGAGAATTTTTATATTTTCAGATATACTACATCATGCCTATAGTAAATCTACCATTGTTTCTACTGTAGCACAAACAGTGGTAGTTTGAATATAATTCTCATTGTTCAATTTCATATTCTAGATATCAGTTATGATGCTAATCTGAAATTGAGAATTTTTATATTTTCAGATGTACTACATCATGCCCACAGTACATCTACAATTGTTTCTACTGTGGCAGAAACAGTGGTAGTTTGAATATAATTCTCATTGTTCAATTTCATATTCTAGATATCAGTTATGACGCTAATCTAAAATTGAGAATATTTATATTTTCAGATGTAACTACATCATGCCTACAGTAGATCTACCATTGTTTCTACTGTAGCAGAAACAGTGGTAGTTTGAATATAATTATCATTATTCAATTTCATATTCTAGATATCAGTAATATGATTATAATTTAAAATTGAGAATTTTTATATTTTCAGATGTACTACATCATGCCTACAGTAGATCTACCATTGTTTCTACTGTAGCAGAAACAGTGGTAGTTTGAATATAATTCTCATGTTCAATTTCATATTCTAGATATCAGTAAAATGATTATAATTTAAAATTGAGAATTTTTATATTTTCAGATGTACTACATCATGCCTACAGTGGATCTACCATTGTTTCTACTGTAGCAGAAACAGTGGTAGTTTGAATATAATTCTCATTGTTCAATTTCATATTCTAGATATCAGTTAATGATTATAATTTAAAATGGAGCATTTTTATATTTTCAGATATACTACATCATGCCTACAGTAGATCTACCATTGTTTCTACTGTAGCAGAAACAGTGGTAGTTTGAATATAATTCTCATGTTCAATTTCATATTCTAGATATCAGTTAATGATGCTAATCTAAAATTGAGAATATTTATATTTTCAGATGTACTACATCATGCCTACAGTAGATCTACCATTGTTTCTACTGTAGCAGAAACAGTGGTAGTTTGAATATAATTATCATTATTCAATTTCATATTCTAGATATCAGTCATATGATTATAATTTAAAATTGAGAATTTTTATATTTTCAGATGTACTACATCATGCCTACAGTAGATCTACCATTGTTTCTACTGTAGCAGAAACAGTGGTAGTTTGAATATAATTCTCATTGTTCAATTTCATATTCTAGATATCAGTTATGATGATAATTTAAAATTGAGAATTTTTATATTTTCAGATATACTACAACATGCCTACAGTAGATCTACCATTGTTTCTACTGTAGCAAAAACAGTGGTAGTTTGAATATAATTATCATTATTCAATTTCATATTCTAGATATCAGTTATGATGCTAATCTAAAATTGAGAATATTTATATTTTCAGATGTACTACATCATGCCTACAGTAGATCTACCATTGTTTCTACTGTAGCAGAAACAGTGGCAGTTTGAATATAATTCTCATTGTTCAATTTCATATTCTAGATATCAGTTATGATGATAATTTAAAATTGAGAATTTTTATATTTTCAGATATACTACAACATGCCTACAGTAGATCTACCATTGTTTCTACTGTAGCAGAAACAGTGGTAGTTTGAATATAATTCTCATTGTTCAATTTCATATTCTAGATATCAGTTATGATGCTAATCTAAAATTGAGAATTTTTATATTTTCAGATGTACTACATCATGCTCACAGTACATCTACCATTGTTTCTACTGTGGCAGAAACAGTGGTAGTTTGAATATAATTCTCATTGTTCAATTTCATATTCTAGATATCAGTTATGA